AAAAAACCCACAGATAGACGATAATTAGCTTACAAAACAATTAAAATATTCTAAAAATCATTTAGAACATTTCTAAAGCCATTTGAACAAAGTTATAATCAAGATATCAAATTTTGGTTAACAGATCAACCAAAGCAGCACATTCAGGATACCTATACACAAATTTGAACAAAATCCATTTTTTCAACGAAAATGACAAAATTAACAGTCCTATATATAAAGATTTTGACCAAAATAACACTATCTCTGAACAAAATTTAATGTGCCCTAACTATTCAAAGTACATCAGAATAATACACAAATCACAGAAATGACCTCGAAAAACCACCAAAATCAGCAGTAATTAGCATTGCAAAAGTAATCTAAAATATTACAAATCATTTTGAACATTTTCTAAAAACCGAATTAGACAAATTCATAATCAAGATATCCAAATTTTGGTTAACAGATCATAACCAGCTTCCAGGTACCTATACTGAAATTACGAACAAAATCCATTTTTCGAAACTGGAGAAAATTGCAGAATCAGCAATAAGGATTTTAATGCTTTCTCTCTGTATTCTAAGATACAAACTATTCCTAAGTACATCAGAATAATACAAGCACAAAAATGACCTCGAAAACACAAGAAATTGTCAAGTAATTAGCATTACAAAACTTAATTAAACATTCTAAAATCATTTGAACATTTTCCTAAAAAGCATTTGAACAAGTTAATCAGATATCAAATTTTGGTTAACAGATCCTAAGCAACACATTCAGAATTACCTATACTGAAATTTGAACAAAATAAAATTTTATTGAAATGAAGAAATTGCAAATCTATAATAAAGGATTTTTAAAATCACCTCTCTCTGAACTAAATTTAATGTACTAATATTTAAGTACATCCAGAATATCAACTCAAGAAATGACCTCAAAACCCAAATTGGCGAGTAATTAGTATTGCAAAAGTATTAAAATATTCTAAAATCATTTGAACATTTTCTAAAAACCATTTGAGACAAGTTATAATCAAGATATCAAATTTTGGTTGCTGGATCCTTCATAAGCACATTCAGGTACCTATGCTGAGAGAATTTTGAACAAAATCCATTTTTTGTGAAGCAATGAAATTGTGATCTATGTGCTCCAAGTTTTTTTGGCCAAAAATACTTTTTCTCTCTGAACTAAAAATTTAATAATGCTGCTATTTAAAATACATCAGAATATTCCTAGCCTTGAGAAATGACCTCCAAAAAACTCCATAAGTGGCGATGGTAACATTGCAAAGTAATTCAAAAATATTCTAAAAATCATTGAACGATAATCTAAAAAGCCATTGAACAAGTTATATAATCACGATATCAAATTTTTGGTTAACAGGATCCATCAACTAACTTTTGCATTCAAGATACTATATCGCAGAATTTTTGAACAAATCCATTTTTATTGAGAGAAAATGACCGAAAATTGTGAAAGATCTATATTATTAAAGGATTTTTTTTTGCAATAAAATACTTTTCTATACTCTCTGAACTAAAATTTAATGTGCCTAACTATTTAAGTACATCCAGAATAATACACAAGCACCAAGAAATGACCTCGAAAACCCATAAGTGGCGAGTAATTAGCATTGCAAAAGTAATTAAAATATTCTAAAAATCATTTTAACATTTTCTAAAAGTCATTTGAACAAGTTATAATCAAGATATCAAATTTTGGTTAACAGATCCTTAAGCAGCACATTCAGGAGTACCTATACTGAAATTTTGAACAAAATCCATTTTTTGGCCGAAATGACGAAAATTGTAAGTCTAAAAGCCTTAAAGGATATTTGGCCAAAAATACTTTTTCTCTCTGAACTAAAATTTAATGTGCCTAACTATTTAAGTACATCCAGAATAATACACAAGCACCAAGAAATGACCTCGAAAACCCATAAGTGGCGAGTAATTAGCATTGCAAAAGTAATTAAAATATTCTAAAAATCATTTGAACATTTTCTAAAAGCCATTTGAACAAGTTATAATCAAGATATCAAATTTTGGTTAACAGATCCTTAAGCAGCACATTCAGGAGTACCTATACTGAAATTTTGAACAAAATCCATTTTTTGGCCGAAATGACGAAAATTGTAAGTCTAAAGCCTTAAAGGATTTTTGGCCAAAAATACGTTTTCTCTCTGAACTAAAATTTAATGTGCCTAACTATTTAAGTACATCCAGAATAATACACAAGCACCAAGAAATGACCTCGAAAACCCATAAGTGGCGAGTAATTAGCATTGCAAAAGTAATTAAAATATTCTAAAAATCATTTGAACATTTTCTAAAAGCCATTTGAACAAGTTATAATCAAGATATCAAATTTTGGTTAACAGATCCTTAAGCAGCACATTCAGGAGTACCTATACTGAAATTTTGAACAAAATCCATTTTTTGGCCGAAATGACAAAAATTGTAAGTCTAAAGCCTTAAAGGATTTTTGGCCAAAAATACGTTTTCTCTCTGAACTAAAATTTAATGTGCCTAACTATTTAAGTACATCCAGAATAATACATAAGCACCAAGAAATGACCTCGAAAACCCATAAGTGGCGAGTAATTAGCATTGCAAAAGTAATTAAAATATTCTAAAAATCATTTGAACATTTTCTAAAAGCCATTTGAACAAGTTATAATCAAGATATCAAATTTTGGTTAACAGATCCTTAAGCAGCACATTCAGGAGTACCTATACTGAAATTTTTGAACAAAATCCATTTTTTGGCCGAAATGAATAAAATTGTAAGTCTATAGCCTTAAAGGATTTTTGCCAAAATACGTTTCTCTCTGAACTAAAATTTAATGTGCCTAACTATTTAAGTACATCCAGAATAATACACAAGCACCAAGAAATGACCTCGAAAACCCATAAGTGGCGAGTAATTAGCATTGCAAAAGTAATTAAAATATTCTAAAAATCATTTGAACATTTTCTAAAAGCCATTTGAACAAGTTATAATCAAGATATCAAATTTTGGTTAACAGATCCTTAAGCAGCACATTCAGGAGTACCTATACTGAAATTTTGAACAAAATCCATTTTTTGGCCGAAATGACGAAAATTGTAAGTCTATAGCCTTAAAGGATTTTTGGCCAAAAATACGTTTTCTCTCTGAACTAAAATTTAATGTGCCTAACTATTTAAGTACATCCAGAATAATACACAAGCACCAAGAAATGACCTCGAAAACCCATAAGTGGCGAGTAATTAGCATTGCAAAAGTAATTAAAATATTCTAAAAATCATTTGAACATTTTCTAAAAGCCATTTGAACAAGTTATAATCAAGATATCAAATTTTGGTTAACAGATCCTTAAGCAGCACATTCAGGAGTACCTATACTGAAATTTTGAACAAAATCCATTTTTTGGCCGAAATGACGAAAATTGTAAGTCTATAGCCTTAAAGGATTTTTGGCCAAAAATACGTTTTCTCTCTGAACTAAAATTTAATGTGCCTAACTATTTAAGTACATCCAGAATAATACACAAGCACCAAGAAATGACCTCGAAAACCCATAAGTGGCGAGTAATTAGCATTGCAAAAGTAATTAAAATATTCTAAAAATCATTTGAACATTTTCTAAAAGCCATTTGAACAAGTTATTACACTTTTTAAATTAGATGATCTCCCACCAATTACATTTCAGGATGCTATCATTCTGCCAAATTTTGAAATAGATATGCTAGGCCTCACCATTTCCTCCAAAATGTCATGAAAATCATACATCCTTAACATAGCTAAAGCTGCCTCCCGAAAGTTGGGAATTTTGTACAGATGCCGTAGCTACTTCACTCCTAAGCAGTTGCTTCAAGTATATAAGGGATTCATTCGTCCTAACTTGGAATACTGCTCTCATACCTGGGGTGGCTCTTCTTCTATTCAACTGTTAGATAGGGTGGAATCAAAGATGTTTCGTCTTATTAACTCTCCTCCTTTAGTTGACAATCTTTCTTCCCTTTCTCTTCGAAGCAATGTTACTTCACTCTCTCTTTTACAGGTACTTTAACAGGCAATGTTCTGTGGATTAGGCATCCTGTGTACCGCCGGGAAGGCCGTGGGCTCATAACACACGTCTTGCCCGCGATGCCCACCGTTTCTCTGTGGATGTCGGTCACACTAGAATAACCCATTATTGTACATCCTTCTTTCCTCACACAGCCAAACCATGGAATGCTCTGCCTTCTTCTGTGTTTCCATACTTATAAAATCTGTCTCACTTTAAAAAGCTGGTTTTCCGGCATCTTTGTGAGGTAGATTAACACAGTACAGGTTGAAAATCCCTTATCCGAAATCCTTGGGGCCAGATGCATTTCGGATTTCGTAATTTTTCGGATTTCAGAAAGTTTTTTTTTTTACAGGGATCAGCCCACCCTGTTTGCTCCACAAAAAATCTTTCAGTTTTTGGAATTTCTCTTCTTATTTTTTCACCTCATAGGCCCTGTTGTGGGTCATTCGACCTGTGCCCGGGTGGTCTAATTCCCGTAAAAAAAATATATACAGTATATATAAAATACAGAGTACTAAATTTATCTCCACTACAAATCTAATATGCAACAATATTTTAGGTGTGTTGTCTTGTGCGATGGGTTCTATGAGTGGCAGACCACAAAAGGAGACAAAAACAAGCAGCCCTACTTCATACATGCTCCTCAGCCTGAAGGGGTAATGAATTAAAATGTTTTTAATGCAGCACATGCTTTCTATATATCCTGTGCTCTACAGTATGTTCTATTTCCCACTACACACCCAAGGGGGTCCTTGTAGAACCTCCTCCAATATCTTTGAATCTATTCCACTTATCTATATTCTGTACATACATTGTAACTTCTGCTGAATGTACACCTAGATATTGGAATTTTCAGGTGAAAATTTTTTTCTCCCTTTTTTATTTAATTACCAGGTAAGCTGGAATTTCTTAATCACTTTCTCAGTGTTTTTTTTTTTTTTTAAATACACTTCTCATTTTTGAGCTCTTCTCAATTGTATCCATTTATTCTTTAGTATTTCTTCAATTATTATGCAACAATGATCTTGCAGTGCTCTAAAAAATCTCTTGCACATTTCTATGACTGTACTGTAATCTCTAAGCATATACAGCATGTAGATTTTATCTAACATTTCAGAACTTCTACGACACAGACCAGGCTATAAACATTCCACAAGAATAATTTTAATGCTTTGCAACACCCAAGTGGTTTCTAATGATAGGCATTTATAGATTAATGTACTGATAGTTTTGTTGGAAGAGCTAGCACATACCTAACCCAGATCCTAATTTAAATACAATAAAAAAATCAATTAGTGTTAATATGTATCTGAGGGATTCCATTTCTTCTATTTTTAAATGGGTTTTTTATTTATTTCTTTATTAATTTTTTTTTCTCTACTGTATTTCATGCTGTTTATTGTATTATCTGATTAATACAGGTGGAAATATGGAACCGTGAAAGTTGGGACAAGCCAGATGTATGGAGTGAAGAAGAAGGGTGGAAAGGACCTCACTTACTCAAGATGGCTGGGCTCTTCTCCAGTTGGTTGTCAACAGAAGTAAGTGTAAATATACTCGAGAATATAGTAATCTTTATTGCATTTTTTCTCCTCTCCATTTGATAAGAATTTATAAGATTCCTTACTTATCACAGTACTGTATATCTGTACTTACTAGAGGCACTATACAGGTGCTAGAGGCACTCTACTTACGAACGAGTTACGTTCCTGAGGCTTGTTTGTAAGTCCAACTGTCTCATGTAGATACCAAACATATTGTAAAAAATTAAAAGATTATGGATATTTAGTACAGCTGTACCCTTTAATACAGCTTTAAAACCTGGCTCACTCTTCTCTTAGGTAATGTTTTTCTATCTGGAATTTTCTTCAAAATAATCCAGTCTCATCCACATTAAACACCTGTTCTGGCAGGTAACACCCCCCCAGTGATGATGTCTGTATCTCTGAAAGTTTGTAAGTTGAACGTGCGTAAGTAGAGGAGCACCTGTATAAGGTTATGTGTAAACAAAGTATGAAACAGCTTCAAGCAGACCATGTGGTATGATGTGGGATCTTCAAAAAATAAAAATAAATGGATTTTGCTTTAGTAATTAATTTTTCCCCCCAATTTATACATTACAGAAATACCCCGCTTATTGCAATGGATGTTCCCAGCCGGCAACTTTCACTATGCATTTTTCAAGATACACTTTTCATTATCCAAGGCTGTTAGGGACCAGGGTTGTGTGTACTATACTGTAGGACTGTACCAGTAAATGTGGGGAAATAATAAAAAAAATAATAACAAATAAAAGAAAATACCAGATACCAGTTGGCAATAGTTTCGCTACATGCGACGTAGTACTGAAACAACGTTAAGCGGGACGATGTTAATTTAGGACTTACTGTAATGGGCAATTTCTGGAACTTCCGAGAACATTTTTCCGGTACCCTGAAAATTCCAGGGGTGAGGGATATTTTTCCGGTCTCGAGAGATGCTGTAATAGGCAATTTCTGGAACTTCCGAGAACATTTTTCCGTTACCCGGAAAATTCCGGGGACGAGGGATTTTTTCCCGGCTTTAAGAGAGTCGTCTCGTTACCCAGAAATCTCTCATTCCCGGAAGTGCTCTTCACCAATTGTTCCGGCTAACAGAGATATCACTGTAGAAAGTTATTTTGTATATGAAATATTTCCAGGGAGAAAAAGTGATGAGCTACTCAGTATTGACAATGGAGTCTGGAAAGAAGTTCTCTAGCCTGCACCACAGAATACCTGCCATCCTAGAGACTAATCAAGAAGTTGAGGTAAGCTCTTGCATGTATTTATGCATTTTTAGAACTCTTAAGATCTATTCTTATTAAAAATTATCCCTTGCAACAACCATATGATAATGTTTTGTAGTCATAATGAAGAGCCTTATTCACAAACTTGGCAGATGAATTTTTTTCTAAATTTTTTGGGTGTAAATTGTTTCAAATTATGATTCATAGTGACCAGAATCAAGAACAAACACAGACTTTCCCTGCTTTGCCAGCCCTTCTGTCTCATATCTGTTATGTTATTTGTACTGTACATCAAGGCATCAAAATATCCCTGTGGTTTATTCTAATCACTTATCACATCTATCTTCAAGAACCACGTCTCTCCATGCTTTCCAGTCATTCACAAACATCACTGCTTCCTGGAAATCCTCCTTCTTAATAACTAGGGCCTCCCTTACCTCACAATTCTCTTTCTTCTGCATTTTTTTCTTCTCCTTTACCTTCCTCTCCTGAATGTTTCAATATATTTACTGATCTGTCTTCAGCTTTTCATTGTCCATCCCATCGAAGCAAACCATTTTCAATTTTGTTCATTATTCCTTTCACTTCCATATCTTCATATGTCTCTTTTTCTTTGTGTTCTGTTCACCCTACACAATAGTCTCCAGCACATCTCCAATTGCTTGTATCCTAGGTTTGTGATTTACTTGCATGCTATAATATTTGATTATTTCCTAGTACTGTACATTCTCATTGTCACCTTATATTTCTCAACACATCAGTTTTCTTTCTCTTGGTGACTGTGATGTAGTTCATCATTCATTGATACACCTCCTAGTTACCTGAAACACTGTATACAGTATCTTCCATTTTGGCTCCATGTGCATGAGTATTCATTACCCTTCTCTGTAGGCAGCTATCAAACAGGGAGGTACTACCGCCTGGGAAAATAATGGAAGCATAATGTACAGTATTGTCTAATGGTAGACCCTGCTGCTATATGGCATCACGAATATTGTGACCAAGTCCCAGGTTGCTGATCTGTCTTTCTGCCCCATTTACACACAATTGCAGGGTCTCGATTGTTTCTCTTACTTGATAACACAACATACATATACCGGTAGTGTTTCTCACTATTGAATTTTTTTTTTTTTTTTCATTTTTGTATTTCTTTGTATTTCATTATTATTATTATTATTATTACAGTGTTATTATTATTATTATTATTTTATTTTACTTTACTTTACTTTACTTTACTTTACTTTTCATTATCAATTTTATTTACTATAATTACTGTACAGGTACACCACCGATTATCTGAGAACTGATGGTCTGGCACCTCCTTTAGTTCTGACAAAATTATGAGGGGTCACTTAACTTCCCTCCCAGCCTGGGTGAAGCTAGTTTTAGGCTTAAAGTTTTTATCTTAGAAAATGTAGCTGACTAGACTTGGCAGAATATAAATTACATTGCTGGAATCCTTTTAATATCGTGATTAATTTGAGTATAAACATCACATAGTTTAATTTCAGTTTATAGCAGTCTATGGTGCTTTAGAAACACAGGAGGTGTATAATTAGTGGATCAGAGGTGTATTGTTGAATTATTATGACCTCGATTGGTCCGGCAAAACGGATAATCCGGCAAGGCTTTGGAACCACGGGTGTCGGCTATCTTGAATATGGAAAAATCATGTACAGATACTTCTTGCTCCTACTGTTTTCTTTCTCACCCCTTCATCTCTCAGATATGCTTTCTACTCCAGTACAGGTTGCACTTAAAAAATCTGAACATCAGTTATCCAAAAACTTTGAAAATCTGAAGACAAAAAATTAGCTGCCTATGCAGCCTTACATTTCCAAATCTTTAATTGTGGGTACATAAATAAATAGCTACTGTACTGTAATTGTGTTACAGTATTATTATTTTTTAAAAATTGTCACGTAATTTGATTTCGGTTATACTTATTATTTATTAGCTTATAATTATCATACAATATTTCATTTGTTGCCTAGTGAAATATTAGGTTTTTTATGATGACCTTCAGTTAACTGAAAATTTAAGTTATCTGAAATGGCTCTGGTCCCAAGCATTTTGGATTTTTTAAATACAATTTGTATGATGGTATATTACAGTACTACAGTGACCCCTCCGTTAACGAACTCAATCCGTTCCAGAAGGTCGTTCGTTAACCAAAAAGTTCGTAAACCGAAACCATTGTTTCAATGGGTTTTTGGGTAATTGGTTCCAGCTCACCGAAAATTTCCTAAATTCAACAAAAATGGTAGAAGGCTCCTGGATGATGATGGTGATGATGATGGGATTTAGAATGGGGGTGGAGGAGAAGGAAGAAGAGAAGGCATTGGGGTGGAAGAGAAGTCACCCCATGGTGCCATTTCACCCATAAAATTTTAGCTCTCTTGGTGTAATTCAAGATTATTTTCTTTAAATCAACACTGCACTGCATTATATATTGTCAATACGTAAAATATATTTCAAAAGGACCAATAATTTGCTTGGAAACACAGAAAAAAAGCGTTTAGTTGAAGAGTCTCAAGCAAGATGTTACCTCCAGTGAAAACAGAGAGAGACTAACTCCTGTTTGCTGTGTTAAGAGGCTGGATGCCGCGCATTAAACTTGTCACTTTACCTTCAATTATGTTCAATAATTGTTAAAATTACTAAAAAATTGAATATTAAACTTTTAAAATTATTGAATAGTATAAACTTCTTGATATTTACTAAAATAGTAAGGAATTTAAGCCCTAGAACCGATTAATGTATTGGCGGACTGATACTAAAGCTGGTTGCCCGGTCAGTGCAAGCGAAAACATGTTGAGGTCGGTTCGTAAGAACTTCGTTAACCGAATTTTTTTTCGTTAACCGAATTGAAGATCCTTATGGAAGGCAGTTCGTTAATCGAAATTACGTTAACCGAGGTGTTCGTTAAACGAGGGGTCACTGTACTCCTGTGATGTAATACGAGTGTAGCTCCACTTTTATATTTATTTTTTTATATTTAAGGACTGGTTAGATTTTGGACGCATTGGTTACAAAGAAGCTTTGGTCATATTGAAGAATGAGGTGGAAGTTGAGTGGCACCCAGTCTCCAAAACTGTCAATAATTCCCGTAATCAAGAGCCAAATATGAATGCACCAGTCAGCTTGGACAAGTGAGTGCTTACTGTACATTATCACCATCCAGGTATTTCAAGTTTTTTATTTGTGGGTAAAAATTTGGTGACTAATGTAAAGAACTAGCGCTTTGTTTGTTTATTTTTCCAGATACTGTTTTCATTATACCTTGAAATACAATGTGGATTTTTAAGGTATTGGTGTAAATTCTACTGTTGTGCTTTTATTACCCCTCCTTGCTCCCAAAGGAGCAAGGGATGTAGCAGAACTCTGTCAGTAACAACCCATCAGCATTGTACAGGCATACCTCTTAGAATGCTGTCTTGTTAAACTGCTTGTTGTGCTGGAGAAAAGTTTTACTATACAGTACAGTAAACTTCCTCTAATCTGGAGTAATGGGGGGAAGGCCTGTCCGGTTTAGTGGAAAACTCCAGATTATGGGGGATTCTGACTCAGGCCACCTAAGAACAACCGAAACCTACTGTAATTTTTTACCTAGACTTAACAGCCTCAGGTCTTTTTATATGCCATATGATTTTTTTTTTAATAGCCACTAAGGGTTTTAACATAAGTGGGGAAAAAATTTAATTTTTCCTTTGTCTCTCATATGCTCTCAGCAGCTTGGTGCTGGATCTCAGCAGCTGGTGTTGCCAGGCATTTCATAAATCTGGCAGCCATGTGTACTGTCTCTGCTTTCACACTCGGCTCCATTCAAGCCTCGTACCCCCCAAAATACCTCTTATTTGTTGGCTCCATGTTGAGAATTTCCTAAACTTTTGAATATCATAAATGCTCATGTTCTATTATTACATTAGTGTATTTTATATTCAATATTTATCATTATGGTGTTCAGTTTAAAGGACTTTACTACTCCTCTATCAGTAGAATATTTGAAAAAGACCAGCTTACATAAAGATGATTGGATAGCCATTGTATCTAAGTATAGTGTTGAATGTAGAATGTCATGGAAACAGAGAGGTTCATAGTTAGATACTGAGCGAGTTAGTGCATGAAAACTTTCTAGGATTTGAAGCTTTGTTTTTAATTGAGCAGGAGACCCAAAGGTTTTGATGGTTAAGAGATTTGAGCTAGAAAAAGAACAGAGGTAGTTTGAGAGACAGAAAGAAGAAAAAAAAGGAGAGAGAAGAAAGGGAAGAGGAATGGCAATTTCAGCTAGCTCTTTTAGACAAACATGCTCTTGCTCAAAGTCGAAAACCCAACAGCTGGAATTTAAATTTTTTCCAAACCCAAAATTTTCTGAGGGGCATATATTCTGGAAAATTCTGAGAAAATTTTCCCAGTACAGTACCCGGAAAATTCTGGGGGTGGGGGAGTTTTTTCTGGGTTTGATAGATGAAAATCAGGCGCTTTTTCTGGGAATTCCGAGAAAAGTTTTCCGGTACCTGGAAAATTGTGGGGATGGGGGATACTTTCCCAGGTTCGAGAGATGATGTAATCTGCAATTTCTGGAATTTCCGAGAACATTTTTCCGTCCCCCCAGAAAATTCCTGGATGAAGGATTTTTTCCGACTTTAAGAGTCGTCTTGTTACCCGGAAATTTCTCATTCCTGCAAGTGCTCTGTGTCCGATGCCCACTGGGGAGGCCACTAAGTGGTGCACCAGGGTGGTGGTTGTAGCCAACCATGGCACAGAGTGGACTACCAGAAATTGAACGCCTGCTGTCTGAGGGAAACTCACCACATGTCCGTGTCCTTTGACGTGGTTTCAGGTGTCTCAAGACGCTCATACAAGACGGAGGCAATCGCATTCTGGGGCTTTCATCAGGTGAAGTTAGACGAGGACAGTAGTCGCCTCTCCGCCTTTATTACCCTGAGTGCCCCCATGGGGCACTGTGCTGCCTCAAACACGTACACCTGGAGATTTGACGACACGATGTGGGACATTCCACGGCATACATTTGACTTCCTGGAGACTTATGCCAAGAAAGGAGTCATGCTGCAACCAGAAATGTTCCAGTTTTGTTGGAGAGAAGCAGGAGTTCATGGTATTCCACCTGGAGTGGAAACAGTACAGACCCACTGAGGACCAGCTGATCCTCCATTACCGACATCCACTCATGGCATGAGCTGGTTACAGTGCCAGTCTTGGAGCCGTTCAGGGAATTGCTGAAGCGGCCGGCAGTAAGGAAGATCTACTGGGACAAACAGCACCAAAAGTTTAACCAGGCTGAAAACACCATCTGCAAGTTGGCAAAGGACGGCCTGGTCTACTATGACAAGACCAGGCCCACTGCAGTCATCATGGACTGGAGCAGGGACGGCATCGACTTTGTTGTCTTGCAGCAGTACTGCTCCTGCGTCACCCCTTCTGCTGCAGAGGTGGGTGGCGCCTGGCAGCTGGCATCTTTCTTTGGCAGTGGCGGGGGAAGTGCTGGCGGTGGTGCTTAGCCTGCAGAAGGTCAGGATGTTTTTGCTGTTGTTAGTGACAGACCACCACCGACCACTGGTCAAGCTGTTTGGGGACAGGGAGCTGAAGGACTTGTTGAACCCAAAGCTCTTCAAGTTAAAGGAAAAGATGCTGCAGTATAGATTCACCATCAAGTTCCTCCTGGACAAGAGGAACTCTGCTGCCAACATCTATCCAGCTACCCTGCACTTGACAGTTTTGCAGAGCTAGGAGGACCTTGACGGCAACGAGGAGTTGGCCAGAGCCATGGTTGCAACCCTGAGTCAGGAAGGCATTATGATTGACCGGGACACGGTTTGTCAGGCATCAGCTTACCAGCTGCTCCCCGGCAGAGTGGCCGGCCAACAAAGCTCGGGAGGTGGCGTGCTTGCACCTGTACTTCGCCATCAGGGACAGGCTGATGGTTTCAAACAGCCTGTTGATATACTGTACACATTTGGTGAGGGACACGTGAGGCTCGTGATCCCAGAAGAATTGAGACACCGGGTGGTGGCAAACCTGCATGCAGGGCACCAAGGAGTTGTCTTGATGCTGTGGAGGGCCAGGCAGTCTGTGTACTGGCCTGGCCTGGCATGGAAGGGGATCTCCAGTACCATAGTTCCTCCTGCCTAACATGAAAGTTGCACGTGCACTCTTCACACCCAGAGCCATGCGTCCTCTCTCCCCCACCTGATAACCCATTCCGGAAGACAGTGGTGGACATGTTTCAGCTGGATGGATGCATGTACAATAAACCCTCAATAACGCAGCTCATAATGGGGCTCTGGCCTTGCCGAGTTATCCCAAATTCCGACTTACCGAGGCTGGTCAACAGCTTTCCGAATGTGAATCCAGCTTCTTAAATATTTTATTTGTGATGGTCCAGTCACCTTTTGTCATTGGCTTTACTCAGCATAGAGAGATTATGCTAAAAAGTTGGGCTTTCAGGACATTATTGAAGATTTTGCTGTTCATATTTTGATGTTTGATAAGAGCTGTAATGTGTCATTCAATATGAAAATAAACTTAACATAAAGTTTATTTTTTCCTTTGTGGCTATTTACTCCTTTCTGATTTTATTAGATCATAGTTAGTTTCAAGCCAGTCAGGTGTGGCAAATGTTTAAGCACTAATCAAACAGATAATAAATTAACATCTGTAATCACGTAGTCTTATACCAATAATCTATGTCTCTTGTCAAACTATATAGATTTTAATTTCTGTTGGGCTATAACACTTCATAGGCCATACCACAGTGAAAATTTATATTTCCCAACTTTCTTACTCCTAAAACCTTCCTAGGCCCAGTTTTCACTGGCATGCCCCCTTGATAATCTGGCCGTGGGTGTGTACTGTACTACCATGGTTTACATTAATTGATTGCAATTTTGCAGAAAGCCTCCAGAAACAGCGAGTAGCAAACTAATGTCTGCATGGTTAAGCAAAGGTACAGTTAAAAAGGAAAGTCCAAGCATAACACCAATAAAGAAAGAAACCGTGGTATCAAATGAAAAGGAAGAGAAGCCATTTTCCTTTAAAAATTGGCTGAAGAAAGAATGTGACAACAGTGCAAGTAACAAATGAGGAAAACGAAAGAACTGTATTTAGAACTGGAATCTGAAACTTTTGTAATTAATGAACTACCAGTTAAAAATTATCTTATAAGCAGCAGCTGTGTTTGTTTATAATTTAGCAGGCAAGATGGAGTTGATCGATGTATATTTAAACGATTGAACTTTACAACATGAAAGGAGGTACTAAGGCCCTTTGGACTCTCTTTATCATAGGTGATGAACAATTGTTGAGGTTCTACATATTTTCTCAATGTGAAATTTTGAACTTGTGTGAGGAATTAAGCACCTTTTTATGGTGGAGAATGAAGAGGTACCAACTCTCACCCAACTGTTAACATTATTGTACTTTTAACTTTTTTTTTTTTATTATTATTATTATAAGCCATGCTACTCATATCTTGAATCATTTAGTAGTGCTTATGAAGTTTTGATTGCAAGTATGTTTTATTTTAAATTTAGTTGTAATCTCCGTGTGACATATACCGTAATAGTTTTGTTTAGTTTGTGGAAAATATGTAAGAAGTGTAAATTAAGTCCTTGAGCTGCATTTTTCTTGAAAGATGTCCTTAAATCAATGAACTTTCTCCAAACATCCCCAACATTTCTTGGTACTTGAGGACTAACAGGGTTGCAGGTTTGGCCTTTTCAGAAGCTTGTTGGCTTGCAGACCTCGGGTGGGTGATTGAGGCATGGGTGATGTGACTGAAGCATGGGTAGTGTGACTGAAACTTGGGTTTTTGGATTTAGACATGGGAGGTATGACTGATGTTTGGGTGGTCAGAATGGGACATGGGTGGTGTGACTGGGCATTTGCATGGATTGTGACTGAGGCATTGGTGGTGTGACTGAGTCATGGGTGGCATGACTGAGGCATGGGTGGTACAATTGAGATATGGGTGATGTGACTGAGGCATGAATTGTGTGACTGAAGCAAGGGTGGTATGACTGAGGTGTGGGTGATGTGACTGAGGCATGGGTATGATTGAGATATGGGTGGCATGACAGAGGTATAGATGATGTGACTGAAACACGGGTGGTGTGACTGAGCATTGGCATGGATTGTGACTGAGGTATGGGTGGTTTGACAAAGATCTAGACAGGGGGACAAATGAATAGAGAGGGGGACACCAATTAGGGACAGGGAGGGCCTGCCTTGGGCATAGGCAGACTAGGCAACGACTTGGGGCCCCCAAGCCAATCAATAAAGCCCCCTGATGACTTCTTAATAAAGTTCAGAAGCTCTGATGCTGGGTGTGAATTTTTCAGTTATCTGCCATGTTATAAGCCCTTTAACAAAAATTTGCACCTAACAAAGTATTACATTATTACTGTTGTTGATAGCTCCCCGTGGTGAAAATGGGTTACGGTAATGAGTCTCCAAACTGACTTACACTACCAGTTTTGTATCGTTTGGGGTCGATGCTGCTTCATTTTGGGAGGAAGTAAACTTTTGTCCCCGACTGTACAATAATATACAGTACAGTAATTACTACCTGTTTTGCTGTTGTTTTATTTCCTGTTCTATGCAATGTCACACACCAGTCCTTGACAAACACTATACCATCTCCAGCTCCCCCATTCACTGAAAATAATAGTTCGCCTCTTAAAATTACTTACCAAAAAGGTTGTAATCACAGACCCTCTCAATTATTTTCGTCTTTTTGACAGGTGTAAAGTATTTTAACACTTGGAGTTCTCAAAAACTAAAGTAAAATAATTCTATGTTTGCATATGAATGCTAGATATGCAAGACACACATTTGGCAATATTGGTGTGATCTGGCACCTATATAGACCGCCTCCAAGTTTATGTGAGTGACCACCAATTGCGCTTTGTGGTTCAGCGATGTAGAACATAACCTTGACCTACGTTTTCCACCATTTTCTCTGGCTTGTGCTGATTTCTCTTTCATCACAGTGATTTCATTTATTCATGACAGTGTTGTGAGAGTTTTGAGCCATGCCTCGTATTGCTGGCGAAGGTGGAGAGGTGGGAAAAGTGAAAAGTACAAGGAAATTGCACCATGCTGTGATAGTGCAGTGCCTCTTGAGGCATCTACCAGTGTCCCTGGCCCTTCTAGCAGGGACAGATTGGACATTTGAAGTACTGGGAGAATTCTCGGTAAGCTGGTTGATCTGTGGGCTGGTGGGCCAGCGAGGAAAAAAAAATCTGGAAAAATAAATAATGCAGGCAGTCTACTGCCCCTGTCATCATCACACTCACACATTCAGTACCTTAGGTCCTGTGGCTGAGCTCTGTTAGTACACATGACTGGGCTGGCAGACTTTCAATAATGCATCACTAAATCACAGTAGAAATATTACTTTTCTGGATACTTGACATCTGAATATCAGGAAAGAATCTGAATATAAAATACAGAACCTTAAATAAGTCGTATTTCCATTATGTGCTTATGAAAAAATCTGTGTGCTTTGTAGTAGCAGTCTGTCTACTACTTTGACAATGTGTGTGTTCTGTAGTAGCATTGTCTACTAATTTGACTGTGTGTGTGTTCTGTAGTAGCACTGTCTACTAATTTGACAGTGTGTGTGTGTTCTGTAGTAGCACTGTCTTGTACTTCGATACTGTGTGTGTGTTCTGTGGTAGTACTGTCTTGTACTCTGATAGTGTGTGTTCTGAAGTAGCACTGTCTACTAGTTTGACGGTGTGTGTGTTTAGTAGTAGCACTGTCTTCTAGTTTGACAGTGTGTGTGTGTTCTGTAGTTGCACTGTCTACTAGTTTGACAGTGTGTGTGTTCTGTAGTAACACTGTCTACTAGTTTGACATTGTGTGTGTGTGTGTTCTGTAGTAGCACTGTCTTGTACTCTGATAGTGTGTGTGTTCTGAAGTAGCACTGTCTACTAGTTTGACAGTGTGTGCATGCTGTAGTAACACTACTAGTTTGACATTGTGTGTGTGTATGTTGTGTAGTAGCATGCTGTACTAGTTTTACAGTGTGTGTTCTGTAGTAGCATTGTCTACTAATTTGACAGTGTGTGTGTGTTCTGTAGTAGCACTGTCTTGTACTCTGATACTATGTGTGTGTGTTGTGTAGTAGCACTGTCTTGTACTCTGATAGTATGTGTGTGTGTGTGTGTTCTGTAGTAGCACTGTCTACTAGTTTGACAAGTGTGTGTGTGTGTGTGCTGTAGTAGCAGTCTGTACTAGTTTGACAGTGTGTGTGTTCTGTAGTAGCACTGTCTACTAGTTTGACTGTGTGTGTGTGTATTCTGTAGTAGCAGTCTGTCTACTAGTTTGACAGTGTGTGTGTAAAGTACTCAGTATAGGAGATGTAAACAGAGAAACCAGATATCAGGTGAACAATGATGTTATGGAGAAATCCAGCTGTGAGTACGATTTAGGAGTAATGATAAAGTAGGAATCTCAAACCAAGTCAACAACGTGTATTTGCTCGAAACAAGGCTAACAAAATACTTAGGTTCATACAAAGGAGTGTTAGTTACAAGACTAGCGAGGTTATTCTAAAACTATATCTTGTGCTTGTGAGACCTCACTTGGATTACGCAGTTCAGTTCTGGTGACCGTACTACAGAATGGATATAGAATCACTAGAAATAATTCAGAAGAGAATGACAAGACTAATCCCAGGCATTAGGAACCTTCAGTACAGAGACAGGTTAAAGCATCTTAATTTGCACTCCCTCGGGAGACATAGAGTGAGGGGCGATATGATCAAGGTGTGTAAATGGAAGTCGGGGCTAAACAAAGGTACTCAAACTATCCAACCAGGAGTGAACTCGTAGCAATGGTTTTACATTAGACAAATTTAAATTTAAGCTCGAGATAGGTAAACATCGGTATGGAAATAGAGTAGTGGATGAGTGGAACAGGTTACCAAACATCATCATTAACTAGAACATGCTGGGTAGCTTCAAACATAGGTTGGATGGATATACGAGTGATATGGGTTGGGTATAAATGGGACAACCCAGTATGGACCAATACGCCTGCTGCAGTTTCCTCTATTCTTATGTGTGTGTGTGCTGTAGTAGCAGTCCAACTACTTATTTGACTGTGTTCTGTAGTAGCACCATCTACTAGTTTGACAGTGTGTGTTCTTTAGTAGCACCATCTACTAGTTTGACAGTGTGTTCTTTAGTAGTACCGTCTTCTACTCTGACAGTGTGTGTTTTGTAGTAGCAGTCTGTCTATTAGTTTGACCGTGTGCGTGTGTTCTGTAGTAGCAGTCTGTCTACTAATTTGAGTGTGTGTGTGTTTTCTGTAGTCACCTCAGAGCTCTCCAACAAAGATGACATCCCTAGTAACTCATATCATTGTATCATTGCTGGATGATCATCATACTCGATTCCAAGTGACAGCAAAGTAGTAGTAGTTCTGAAGTAGCAACGTCTTCTAATCTGACAGCTTGTTTGTTCTGTAGTATTAGTTCCACTGGCACTATGTGAGTGTAGGGGTAGGCCTATAATTTAGCAGCTGGTTCTAGTGCTAAGCAAATGTACTCAGGCTATAGTATACTTAAATGTCCTACAGAAGGGCAGATTTAAGAGGGGAATGGTTAAGGTTCAAAACCCTCCAAAATGAAAAAAAGCTACCTCACCCAGCCTCTGGAGAGCTTGTGATCCCCACCCCCTCCCCAACATAAATCTTGGGTACAGCCTTGGCTTAATGAGCTAATTGGATGAAGTACTTAATACTAATCTTAGGATATGTCCAAATACCCCTCAACTATGGCCTCAAAATATCCCTGAACAGGCTCTCTTCACTCACTGGCTGTGGGGGCTGATCTGGGTGAAAGTTCAGGGCTGCTTTTCAGTCCCAGTCTGTCCTTGCCTTCTAGTCCAAGTGATAGTTTGTCTGACCCTTCAACAAGCAATCTTAGTGCAAAGGGAACTGCCTGGCATGTTGTGGCTAGAAGGAAAAATAAGTGTTGCTCATGTGGCATCTCAGCGTGACTGCTCATCTCCTAACAAGTGCACAATACGTGTACTCCCACTAAAACTAGATTTAGATGCCTTGTTCAGGCCAAGTACAGCATTGTGTGGCCCGGAGGAGGAGGGAAGAGGAAAGTCACCAAATGCTTCAACATCTAACATGTGAGTACAGAAATTCATTTATTTTCTTAGAAATTTGTAATATTTTTACAGATTACATATACCGGTAATCCGTAATTTACAATTATCCCATATGAATTTCGTAAAAATAGTATGCATTTATAAACACCGTATATTTCATGTAAAAGATATTGAAGCTTTGAGCGAGGAATATCCATATAGATTTAATCGGTTTATTGTAATGGTGTATTGCGATTACTGGGTACTTAAGTAAAACTATTTGTAGATAATGTATTTACAATGCTAATGCAACAAACCTAACCTTTTTTTTTTTATCTCCAATAGTAAGCTTGCTATGACTGTACAGTGTACAATTATCTTTTGTGCTAGTAGAGAAAAAATTATTCAATAATCTGTACTTGGCCAAGGCATGCTCATTAGAACGCACAATTTGCACCACTATTACCTGGCGAATAAGGTTCATATTGCAATCACTAGAAATAATGAAGGTATTAAGTGATGTATGAACATTTTCATTACAAGTAAACAAAAAATTTTCGACTTGCACTTATAGACATAATTATTTTATCGTGATTACTCGTATAAAACTGTTTGTAGATTACTATATATACATTGCTAATGCAGCAATCCCACCTTTGATCTCAATAGCTAGCTTGCTGTGACTCATTGTATGCAATTATCTCTTGTGGTGCAGTCAATTGCAGTGAGGCGACAAGCTAGATCCCGAGCGTCTTGCAAGAGATCACCTACCCAAGCTCTGAGGATAGCAGTCACTCTCCCTGTGACTGGCTACAGCAGAGAACTTTGCTAAACTTACTAAAACTAACTTGATGGCTCAGGAAAAGTTTGCTGTCAGGCATCAAATGTCTTAAGCAGACATCATTGACGAGTTTGCAACAAAGGTCAGGAAACAAATTCTAATTATAAAGATACTAATTATGTCACTAAATGTGTTTCTAAACACCTAATTTATTTTATTGATATTTGATCATCTACTTCCTAACAAAATGGGTGTAATGCCATTATGAATAAAATACAAATGGCAAATTCTAAGCAGTTGATTTAAACATTTTCCTCATGAATGAAAAGTTAAAGTGCATATTTTCAGGGGAAAAAAAAGTAAACTCAAGAGTACAGTACAGTCCTCATATCTGTTTTTCCCAATCTAAGGTTTTGCCTTTGGGTTTATAGGTGTCAATAACAACACAATGGTGCTCCCAATCAGTTGGGTGGGTAACACCTGTGAATATGGCCCTAAGGAAAATCGAAAGCCTTATTTTGTAGTATAGAATGCTCCTTTATTGAACACTTCACTCACACTGAGTAATGCAAAACCGAAGACACATACACTGAGCAGTCTAACTCCTTCACACACGCACACTTCACGGCTTTGTACATGTGAAAGTCACATTGATATAAAATAATATTAATGATAGGGCTAATTACAATAATAAACTTCTCAGGGATCCAACAGACAGGACAATACAAGGGGCGGTACGCTTGGCATCTCACAACCAACCACATAGCACGTAGTTATGGCAGCAGCCTCCCAATAACACAGCATGTCTGTCAAATATACCACACTAATGAAGTGTTCATGTATAATTTTAAGGAGTGAGCCTGCCTGGGTATACTATTTACATCACTTATATATTTATTGAAGCGCACGTTTGCCGCATCTCGTAGAGGCCTTGCATTTGGCATGAGCAACAACACTACATGTGGTGGGTGCTGTTGATGACTGATGCTAAGGGGCAGTGCCAGCAAAAAAGTTAAAAGGCTGTAAGAAGATTACCCATAATAAAAAATTAAAAGAATACCATAACATCAATCATCTATAGCAAGCACCAAACATAAAATGCTAGAATTCATCTGCACTATCTATTTATTAAAAATGTACAGCCATTTTATAGCAAGACATCAGAATAGATCTGTGCGACATGAGAACTATGAACATTCCTAATGAGAGCACGTCCATCAATATGGACACAACATATAAAATATTCAACAATGTTCTCTCTAACAAGGAACAGTATTACTGAAAGGCTGGCTAAGCCTCTCATATGTACAAAGAATGTTCATAGCGCTTAAATATTTTTTTTTATAACCTTCGATTAACCAAAGCTAAATCATGTGTCTTGTGAAAATGAAGCCATTAATAATTTAAGTTTCTCCCTGTGCAACACAATAGGCAAATAACTTTCCTTCTCATGTGCGATAACAATGCTGGTTGCATACATGAGTAGGACCTATCTAAGATATTACGGGATTTGTGCAGAAAAATATGAAATTATCATCCATTTGGCACACTGGATGAAAACATAAATACAAATTGCACAGGAGAGGCAAATGCCAAGATCCAAATTCACAAGTTTTACATAAATATTTGATGCTGTCAAGTGCAATATATCACACAATTTCAAGTTCAAACAAATAAATTGTCAGAAATGCTTATCTATAGATACAATGCAATGAAAATGAAATTGTGACAGCTCCTGTGTGGACTCCTAAATATATACAATCAAGGTAAACCACCTATTCAGTTGAGAGTTCATGAAAGTCACATCTCTCATCTGAAGTTTTATTTAACATGATTACAGATTTATATATATATATATATTTTTTACAAAACTCCCTTTCCCTTACTTTAACACTCACTTCATATTTCAGTTACTGTATTAGCGCTTATTCGCTGGTAAAAAATGCTTGTACTCCCAATAAATCTCTTCCTTTCTAGTTATGAGGAACATGTGTGTGTATACTTGTACAACAATAAATTTGTGGCAATATTTTGCTATCTGTAACTCCCCTAAAAAATACCCATTTAACAATCCAATTAGGTTATCTTTGTAGAATCTAAATTTTCACAAACTGAACATATAAAATAAAGCAATTGCCTGAATGGCTGGTAAGTGGTGAAATGAAATTATAAGTAAGTGCTTGAACCTTGCAACCTAAAGCATTAAATTTCACCAGAATTCTAGGAAAATAACATATAAGACTTGATAAAATACAGAAATAACAGAATATGACTTACCGGTAACTGTTTATTTACTACTCAGCAGTTTTTTTTTACCTTTCTTTTCTAAATAAATACATTTTGATCAATTTAAACCCTAAAAATGCAAAATATACATGAGACAGAGAGAGAGAGAGAGAGATAAAAACAATAATCTAAAGACACAATTTGGTAAGAATACCAGACTTGGCATTACTGCTTCCGGGCACGCCTGACTGCCTTCTTCATAACACGTCCACTAGGAGTAGCTGGGGTGTTAAAGGGATTGCCATCTGAATTTCTGAAAATAAATAAATAAATAAAAAAAATCCTACATGCTTGTCTCCTGTACTCAAGTTTTCTGATTCACAACTGCGGCACCTCCAGTTCACCCAGCTATAACTGGAAATTCAATTGTTTAATTGGAAAAGTGAAGGCAGTTAAATACAGTGACTGCCACCTTGTATGTGAAATGATTAGTATTCAGTTTACTGTACTGTAAAGCCTATGAGACCCATTTTTTATTTTATGTGTAATACATAACTAAAAAAAATCATTAGAGTAAAACTATTGGCACTTACAAAACATTTACCCATAGACACCATTAGTGACCAAGTGGTTTGAGATTTTGTTGAAAACTGTCAGATGCATTGATTTTACAAAATTACCACTACAGTGAAAGTGGGTCCCATAGACTTCACAGTCTATCCAGTGTGGATACAACACACTGTATATTAAGCCTTCAGTATACAGTAGAATGTCGATATAACACGAGATACATTCAAAGTTCCAAGAGAGGTCACTTTAAACTGAATTTACACTAAATCGAAGTGTTGTTTCGATGGAATAATTTAGTTTGGTACTTGAGAGAAACACAAAATACTAAAAAGACTGAGTCTACCCAGATGCACCTCAGCCCACCTAGAATAAACAAAACATTGTTTTTTGTAGTATTATGTTAAAACAAACACTCATAAATCAACAGCTAAAAATTTTGGGACGTGAAATGGTCTGTTTACTAGTGATCAACTGATAGGAATGTGGGGGGGGGGGGGGGTGATATATTTGACAGTTGATGCCAAGGTCTAGTGCTTATTTATTTATCTGTCCTTAAGAGTGACTTAAGTTTTTCTCTTATAAAATGTCACTAAACTGACCTGGGAGAATATAATTTACATTGCTGGAATTCTTATAAGATAGTGATTAATTTGAATATAATCATGCAATAGTTTGCACCAGACAAAAATTTTAGTAATCATTTAGTACAGTACCAGTACAGCTTTGCCCTTAGGACAGTGTAGCATGCCGAGAGAAACATTAGGCGCGAATTTTAAAATATGATGCGCCAGATTGACTCGCGCAAAATAGGAAACATTCGCTTTAACTTAAAACATTGTCCTTAATTGTGGGTGTCGCTTTAAATCAATAATCTTATATTGAATCACTTTAAATCGACGTTCTACTGTTCTACGTCCCCACATTGTAACACTTGGGTACCTATTTACAACTGGGTGAAATGGGAGTCCCCGGGATCAAACCACCAACCCATGGAACAGGAGACGAGCACTGTATCCACTCAACTGCCGCTCTCCCTACTACTACAGTAAGATTACTGTACTTTTAATTAACCCCAACGACCCGCTTGACATTCCAGAACATCCACCAAGGGCGCCCCAGTGGACGTTTCGGAACGTTCACTGAGGTAGCCCCAGTTAACGTTCCGGAACGTCCATCTAGGGCGCCCCGGTTAACGTTCCAGAATGCGAGCCTTTTCACAGCATTATTTGAATGCCCAACGCGGGTTATCGGGTTCCAGTGTGACTTATTTGCCTATCACGTCACACGCTCGACCACAAGGAAGCTTCCTTGTTTGTCCATTTTATCATGTTGTATCAAAGTAATATTGCTAAAAGTAGTGTACAGTGGTCCTTCAGTTAACGAAGTTAACTGAATCTATTATTTCAATGGGTAATTGTATGTACTTTTTCTGAGTTGGAACCAAAGTACTGTATACTGGTTTAGAATTAACAAAACATTAAATATAAACAAAATACAGTACTGTACAGTATACTGTACATTAATAAATAAAAAACAATAAAATACTGTATTTTAACTTATTTTGAGGTGTGTATTTCGTATTCCCGGCAGCTTTGTTTACATAGCAAACGGCTTATTGTAGAGGCAGTCGATGACGATGTGCCATATTCTTTACAGAGTACATTGGTTCTAATGCCTTCTTTGTGTTTCATAATAATTTCTGCACTGTATATTATCAATATGTTAACTCAATTTTAGAATGACCAATAATTTTAAAGTAAAAATGCAAAAATATTCAAGAGACCAACAAACTCGATGTTCACTCCACTGTAAACAAGTTAAACTGAGAAGCGTTGGTGGGTGATTCGATCAGCTGATGGGCGCACAAAACTGTTCCCTGTACTGTTTATACAGGTATCAATATATTAACTAAATTTCAGATTGAGCAATAATTTTAATATAAAAAATGCAAAAATATTCAAGAGCACAACTTTCTTGATACAGGTATTTGCTCCACTGGAAACAAATGTACACAGAACCTATTACTGTATTGGCAGACTAGCCGATCAGCTGATGAGCACACCAAGGTGTGTTTCTCATAAGGCTGTCATTAATAGAACTTAAAATCCTTATGGGAGCTAATTCGTTAACTGAAACCTCGTAAACTGAACCGCTCGATAATGGAGGGACAACTGTAGTATTACTGGAAAATAACGCTATGATTATGTAATAAATGTATTTACTTGTGGAATTATTATTCTGATAATTATTTATATGCATTATTTGCTCTACCAAACACAAAGACAGCCTGGCGACAGACTGTGTGTGTTGCCGAGCACTGTTTATGAAAAATAATACAAATAAAATATTCTAAATGAATTATTTATAGGAAATAAGTATTATGATCAGTAATATATACATTACTGACCATCCCAGACACAAAGGCAAGCAAAAAATTACCCCTAAGTACACAGTTACCACGAGTGCTAGCCATCAAAACAACACTGTTCCCTTATCTCCCTCGCCACTGCGGCCCCAGGGAAGTTTCTAGAGGGTCAATATATAGTGTTTGTTACTTCTTTTTTATTATTTTATCATTTAAAAAGGTTAAAAATTATTTTTGGAAAAGTTGATTTTTCTCGATTTACCCCCGTGTGGGAGATACGGCCAGCGGCACCCTAGCCTGGGGAATAGGGGTTTAAGAGATAGACTGAATGCAATATCCCCCATCTGTGCCCAAGCTAGAGGACTAAAAAATCATGGTCACATGGTGAACTGAAACTATCAATGAGTACAGTAAACCCTCAATAACTTGGAATGTATTGTAGTATAACTCGGGGAATGCCGAGATATATAAAATTGTCTGGGAAAATCTGGCCATGAATAAATACAAATTAAAAATAAAGATCAACAGCAAGAACTGTATGTATGTATGTTGTGTTGTCAAATTTAGAGAAACTGTTGTTTTTATTATAATAATAATAATAACAATAAATAAATACAAAATAAAAAGATCAAGAACGAGAAACGGTATACTACTGTACCTGTATGTATGTTGTGTTGTCAATGTGAGAGATACTGCAATTTTATGTAAATGAGGCAGAAAGTCAGATCAGCTATCTGGGACTTGGTCACAATTTTTGTGGTGCCATATGGCAGTAGGGTCTACCATTGGACAACACATAATGCTTCTAAAATCTTCCCAGGCGGTATACCTCCTTGTTTGAATATAAAATAACTGTAACCGTGCGGTTCCAAAAAGTTGATTTATTATTATAGGAATATATTATGAAATAAATAAAGATGAATGAATTATAGGAATAAAACATGAATTATATGAAGAAAAAACAACTATGTTTGGGTGCAGAGCTGGTGAGGGGTGGTGGAAGAGGGAGGGAGGACAACTCACGGTCTCTTGCTCGGCAGCCCACGATCCCTTTATAAAGACAGCATGCAATTTCACCGCAATTCCCATATTATTTAGGTTCATTTGGTGGTGGGTTAATAATTAATTGATTGACTGATTGTGATAATTACATCCTGGCAATGCAACAGCTTAGATCATAATTATGTAACTGAATTAAAATAAAGGCTTAAAACCCTAAAATCAAGTAAAACACGGAAAAAAACATAACTAATAAATAACATAGAACTTTCATATAAAACATTCAAATGTTAATAGATAACACTCAAAGTTTGTGTAAAAGGCCAGCTTCCTCCACGAAGGAGAGGACGCCCCCTCCCACGCTACCCACTCCAGCACCAAACAGTAAGACACCTTCCCGCACTGGGAGAGGTATTTACGGCGAAGATCTTCCGAGACTGAGGCACTCCACCATGAGGTGTCGAACAGTCAATAGAACCAAGCAGTCATCACAATGAGGGGACGCCCTCTCCATTAAGTAACTATGAGTCAGCCGTGTGGCCAATGCGAAGGCAGGTCAACGCAGTCTCCCAGCGGCACGTCAGTCGCTGACATCTCCGAGCACCCAAAGCAGGGTGGATGCCAGCCCAGTTGCCTGTCTTCCCCTATGTGACCTCATGCCACACATGCAGCCAAACGTCTGAGTCAGATGGGTGACTGCTAAACTGTATTGCATCGCCCAGAGGATGGTTTGTGTGTGGAAGGCGCTATTTTATGATGGGCTGTCGCAGTTTTATTATTTACCATAGCAGTTTTTGTTCAATTTTGGTGTATGCAATTTGAAATTCTTACAAATCAGGCTGATCTCGTTCTCGCTACATTGTTCAACTCTGAACCTCACCATTTGTTTAGAACTTCAGGCGTCACTATATAAATTGTTTAACTTCGAAACCGTTTATAACGAACTCATTTAAAGAGAGAATATTGTACTTTCAATACCCAGCCACCCTCATAGCTCTGAACTGGGTTTTTTATCTTTCAGTGTCACATTACACATCCACCTCACCATTCTCATTTCAGCTATACAAAGTCACAGTTCTCATACCAAGTACATACACCTTTCCTTTCACACGAAAGGAAGGTTGTTTTGCTGTCAATAAAGGCAGCAAAGCCCGAGACTTACTCCACACCACTTGTGACTCCTGGAACTGAGCTAGCATCAACACCACCCTCATCACTGGTCATGTCACCCAAGCAGGGATATATCCCCAGATGTTATACTTAAGGTACAAAGACTGGACATCAGCTGGGACAATTTCTCTTAAACTAGTGAGTGGCAATTTCATTTACTAACACAATTCCTATGGTGCTACAAAAAAGGATCCACAAAGATAATGAATGAGTTCATATCAAAATACATACCCAAATGAAGATGCTGGAGCTGAGACATCTGAGTTGTTAGAACCAAATGCGAATATTCCACTCGACGGAGTACTATTGGCTTGACTCTGCAAATTCACATTGGACTATAAGCACAAGTAAATAATCAATATTAGATAAAAAAAATTAACACAAAATTCATACAATATCCATATAATAAATAAAACAGCAAACTTCAGTTATGGTACATGTTAGAGCTGGTATGGGAAAAGTGGCCAGTATTAGTTGTGACTAGGCATAAATGCTCTCAATCGATGTACAGATATGCTGTCACCATACAATCTCTCACTTATACAAGTAAACCCTCATATACAGATGTCTGATTCACAGAGTTTCAAAGAATCTTTTTTAAATAACTTCATCATTTAAATAGGTAAAACCCATTATGATTTTTTCTTCCTAACATTATAAGACGTTGGAGTGCTGACACAGACAACTGAGAGCATCCCGTACTGAACAAGGACGGCAATTTTTTTCTACTTTAAACATGGATGTGTAGTTTAATTTTTGAAGAGTTTTTGGTGTATACTAATAAAAAACTATAAAATTATAGGGATATTAACACTTTCTATCATATTTTAAACAGAATTGTCACTTCAAATCACAACTACTGACTCATTTCTAATGTATATACAAGTCAGATTAAATCACAACCACCTACTCAAGTCTGATGCTTACTGTATACACATCACTCAGGCATGCATGTAACACATTCCACTCATGTGTCATTTTTATATTAAATTTTCTTCATTAGGCTTTTACCTACCTCATCAATTTTTTATAATTTATATATTTTCAAAACTATTGGAGAACATGCACAGAAGACTGAATGGCATATGTGCAGTTTGCTGGGTATAAAACTGACAGACGACTATGACAGCTGGGTATATAATTTATAAACTGTTATGATTGAAGGTATTAATTCAAGGGAGAAAAGATAGTTTTACACTTTACTGTATGATCTAAGTAATGCCCAGAAAAGAGACAGTAGTGTTTCAGTTTTAGTGAAAGGGAACCAGATTTTGAAGAAAAGTAATTTTCTGATTCTACTTCATTTCTACAACAGTGCACAGCATGAAAGCCCGAAATAAATAAATAAATAAATGAATATATATATATATATATATATATATATATATATATATATATATATATATATATATATATATATATATATATATATATATATATATATATATATATATATACAGTATATATATATATATATATAAGAAAACCGTCAGCATTTGTGACATTGTACCAGCTTTATTGATTCAACAATAGACGAGTGAAAATGACAGTAATGCTACACAAAACAATGGTAATTACTGAATGCTAAAACAATGGTAATTACTGAATGCGATTTACAGTTGTTTCCCTTATAATAATAATAACAGTAATAAAATACATAATTAATACCCCCAAATTCAAAATCTCTCATAATTCATCATGTTTTGCTGCTAAGATACATATATTAAAAATTTTGTAATACTGGTAAAATTTTGAAATGCAGTATGAGACACTTTGAAATATTACGATATACGTTTATAGTATACAGTGTAAGCTGCTCCCAGACTTACGATGGGGTTAGGGACCCAAATCCAGGTCGTAAGTCGAAAATGCTTAAATAATAAAAGAAAATCTAAAATGGGTGATGCTTAAATAATACATAGAAAATCTTAAATGGGCATCTCTATTTCTTCTCAGCACCACAAAACTCACTTTTAAGCTTGCCAGCCACTTTAAAGTGAATTACAAACGAAAAAATTTTCAGTACACAGCGCAATCACTGACGTTGGGACTCAAAAATACAGGTACAGTGGAGTATGCTATAACGAACGGATCCTACTACGAATATTCCTATAACGAACGGTTTTACCTAAAAAATTGAGAATGCTATAACGAACGAACTCCTACAACGAACATTATTTAAAAAAAATTTTTTTTTAACTAATTTATTGTTTTTTATTACACGTATTAATGATTCTTTATGATATTCTTTATTTCAGGGGTTTAGATGCATATATATGCACTTTTTTGCAATTTTTACAATTTTATATTATATTTTTCAGTGTTAAGTGGTTGTATTTGGGGGCCTGGAACGGATTAATCCTATAACGAACGAATTCTATAACGAACAAGGTTCTAGAACCAATTAGATTCGTTATAGCATACCCCACTGTATACGTAATTTGACAAAATTTTGGTACGACTGAGGCAGTCGTATGTCCAGGTGGTCATAAGTCGGGGAGTAGCTGTATATTGTAGACAATTTACTGAAGGTTTTTCACGGGTGTAACCATTCCATATATCAAGGTGTACTAGTATTTCATCTTTTCTATAAATTCTTCCGAGGTATAAAAAAATACACTCCCCCTCCCCCATATACAAAATGACCCTTCAGAGCTTGTAGGCTTGGAAAATTATACAAATTAGGAAGGTGTTCTAGTGATTTCAATCCAGGAATAACAGATATTCAGACAATACAGTAAATGGTTTCTTAGTTGTTTTGCAGTATTTATGACTGGGATCTTCAAAAGGTACATCTAGGTTAATAGGGAATCAGAAAACACATGATGCACTTTAGTTAACTGCCTTCATTTGACAGGACTTAAAAGTTACAGGAAAAGAAAAAAAAACCCTAGTGTTCATAATATCCAAATCATGGCCATTTGTTAAATAACCACCACTGTCTACACCATATTTACCACTTAAATAACATTAATTACCTATCGTATTTTTTTCTATTATTGTACTTAATGTTATATTATCTACGGAGAAACATACACCATAAGAGGCTGATAATACGAGAATATAATAATGAATAAATAAAAAACAATCTGGCAAATTTGGCAACGGCCACCCCTGCCCCTCCAGTATGTTTATACTGTACATGAAGTGATATCTTTGCACCTATTAGCTGTCTTTCTGATTCAACCACTGTACATGTCCCCATTAATGGTGATACTTAAGCCATCGTTCATGGGTTAGAACAAAGTATATAAAACTGATAACTGTTTTTATTTACCATATTAGATCCTGTAGTGTAGACTCAATAGTGGAAGTAGATGACGCACTATTGACGTTCAGGTACAATTTAGTTTGAGGTACTTTTACAGAACAGTATTTTAATTATTTGGCACTTTAATTTTAACTGGATAGTAATCATTTTCTACTTAAACAATGTAGGTACTGTAACAAACGATACTTAATGTTAACTGTATAAACTTAATATTACTGTAGAGAGACAGGAGTTGATGGGGTAGGGGAAGCCATCACAACACAAAAATTTTTTAGTGAACTTCTTAAAGTTCATGTAAATGAGTATAAGTAGCGAGGTGCAGTGAACTGGTGATACAGTACATATGAATGCAGGACTAAGACCGAGGCACATGGCTGCTTGAGGGCGGCCACGCGTGAAGCAGCCAGCATCTATGCAAATAGTGCCAGCATGCTGGCGGCTGTGTTAATCTTTGATTTAGCATTTCCTTAATAGTTTTAGCTGCATATTTTCATATACAGTATTTTCTAGTGTTTTTGATGTGTTATGCAGTAAATTACAGAAGTCTTGTACTATTTATTCTTAGTTAAATAGGATTTCTGTTCGTGAACCGATTTTGTGTTTTTGGGGTATATGAATGTACAGTATTTTTGTCATTGGAGAACCGAACCCTATTTTTATCATACTATATAATTTTCTATCCGAGATACGAAAATTCACCTAATGAATTTTATTTAACCAAACCTGCTTGTATATCAAAGGATACCACTATACAGGTAATTTGAGATTTTATGATCAAATTTTTATGCAAAAAGTAGGTCAGGCATGGGCAACCCCCAAACCATGTCTTTGTGCGACCCACTGTGTGATTGAGAAATTTGATTTAATGTAGCTCGCAGTTTAGGTAAATGCAGCCAGCTTACTTTGAGTAAAGCAATATTTATTAAAGGAAAAATCTTCACACACATTTCATTACTGTTTCATCACCTAAGAGTAAGTGACTACAAAAATGTTAGTGAAAAAAGTAGTCAACAATATAAACATATTAACTTGCTATGTGGCAGTGGGTCACTTGGGGATTAACTAACGTTGGGTAAGTCAAGTGTGATCACGGGCACTGTCTCTCTCCTTAGTACCTTTTCCTTAACGCCTGGCTGCCCAGGGGTGGCTCCAGAAGGTTCATGGGAGTCCGGACCCCCCTTTTCATCAGAAAATTTCAATACCCTTAACTTAATGCAGTATTGTACTTAGGCGTTTCTGTATCGTAAAAAGTAATTACTATTGACCTCAGAATATCTCCTCATATCAAGTGCACATGGCTTCAAAATGCCCATGACATTGGTCAGCTACATGGGCTCGCTTACTCGCCATGTTCCCCCACCCACAAATTTTTGGACTCTCCCTTTTCATATTCATGGATCTGCCCCTGCTGTCTGTTCTATCTATTTATTCTTGTCTACAGCAAGATTAGCATCGACATTATTCTGATGGATGTCTGTGTCTCATAAGTAAGAAAATTGTGTAACTGTAGGAAAAAAGTGACATTCACAGACTGCTTCACTCATCTTCTGTTAAATGCCAAGAAACATTAAAATTTTACTTTTATATATATATATATATATATATATATATATATATATATATATATATATATATATATATATATATATATATATATATATATATATATATATATATATATATATATATATATATATATATATATATATTTCAATAATAAATGTACTGTACTGTAAAACACACTTCCATTACAATGAAAGGAAAATGCTTGTGTGTATTATTTCCAGCTACCATAACTCATTGAGGTTTTATTAATTTATCCAAATGTCAAATTTAGCTAAATTCCATCACTCCTTGTTAAAGCTTGTGTTCATAACTGATGGACAAAAGGTGTGCATTCTTAAGTTATCCTCCTGGGATGGTAGGTACAGTAAATAAATCGAATGTACACTTATAATGCTAAAATTTAAAGTTTATGACTATAAGAACAAAAACCAAACTGATTAGACAACATTCAAATATTTGTCACTAGCCTGTCCAGCCTTTGTTACACCCAGCTAAAACTTGGCGTGTTTGTAAAAAAACATTCATTGCAGAATATTTCTTCCAAAATCCTGTGAATAAACTTATGCAATGGGAACATAAATTAACTACAGAGGGTATCATTACCTGTCACAAAACTCTGAACTTATTTAAGATAATTATTTCATATAATACTGTTCACTTTGCATATGCTGATTTAGTTCAAGACTTACCTGGCCAAACTGGAAAATGCTTGGGGTGGTCTGTGTTCCTGGACCTGCGAAGTTGAATCCTGATGATCCTGTGTTGTTCGCTGCCTGGCCAAAATCAAATCCTGCACTTTTTTTCTCTGCTGGCTGCCCGAAGGCAAAGCTTGGTGTAGAACTATTGTTATTGTTGTTGCTACCAAATGCTGAAGATGCACTTCCAAATGTTGATGCAGGGTTTCCAAAAGCAGAAGCAGGTGCAGGTGCCGTTGCAGCTGGAGGTGGGGGGTTACTCTTGCCAAACTGGAAATTAGAGGTTGCACTGGAGGCTGGGGCTGGGGCTCCAAATGCTGGGGTAGATGATGGAACTGCTCCAAAGCCTGAACCTGCATTTAATTTGCTTTCCTTACTACCAAAGGTAAAAAGTGGAGAGGCACTGACACCATTGTTAATACCACCTGTGGTATTTGAGGCAAAGGTAATTTTCTTTGTCGGCTCACTTGTATCAGAGGAATCCCTTTTTGTGCTGAATTCAAATGTGGTTGCTGGTTTGGAGTCCCCTTTAACTGAAGATGAGATGAAGGAGAAAGATGACATTATCGTAGCTTTGGATCCCGTGTTGTCTCCAAATTTAAAAGTCTCTCCAGGTGGAAAAGCATTTCCCCCTGAATTAGCACCAAAGGCTAGAGTAGATGATGGATTAGATACAGATTCTGTAACCTTCGGGGCTCCAAAAGAGGATGTAGTTGTGTTTTTTGTGTCATTATCCTTTCCTGATGTTATGACATTATTAAAGGTAAATGATGGTTTAGTGATACCTCCATCCACATTATCAGCCTTAGAGCCAAATGAAAACATATCATTTGATTTTATGTCTCTTTCCTTATTAACTGTATCATGACTATTGCCCGACTTAAGTTCTATTGTTGGATTTATTTCATTGGGAATACTTTTACCCACACCTTCTTTTACAGCAGTCTTTACCTCTGTTCCTGATCCAAAACTAAAGGCAACTGGTGTCTTACTTCCAGAACTAAACTTAAATACAAGATTAGGAGCAGGTCCAGTTTCTGAACTACTTTCGGATGATATACTAATGGGAAACAAACTTGGTGCTTTATCTGTTATTTCTTTGTCTTTAGAGTCCAATGACTGAATCCCAAAATTAAAACCACCACTACCACACTGACTTTTTTCTTTTGACTGTACACTTTCAGAATTGGAATTGAAAGAAAACCCAGTCAAGATATTTGGCTTCTCTGGCACTCCAAACTTGAACCCTGAATTTCCTTTACTGTCACTGACTTCTGTACTTTTGGCACTATCTCCAAAATTAAATCCACTTGAAGATTTAACAGTAGTCTGATAGTTACTTAAACCAAACTTAAAAGTAGGATCTGTGGAAGATGAGTCATTTACACCAAATTTAAAGTTTCCAGTTATGGGAGACACACTAGCAGCACCTGGCTTAGGAGTTTCACACGATATGCAGTTTGTGTCTTCACTTTTGTTTCTAACTAAACACGTGTCACACTCCCACTCATCTTTGCCTTTTGCAAATGCAGAACCAAAACCAGAATTTACTTTTCCTTCCTTAATATCTACAATTTTATTAACTTCAGCTGACACTGCACATACAGTTTCACTTCCAGGTTTACGAGTTTCACAAGCAACACATTTTTCGGTAGAGTCCTTATTACGTAGCATACATGTATTACACTCCCACTCACTTGCAGACCTTTTAAAAGCATCCCCCCACCCCATTTCACTATCTAATATTGGTAAAGAAGTTTTATCTACATTAGCTGCACATGAAGTAGCCTCTTTACTTCTAATGGAAAAATTCTGTCCAGGTCTTTGGGTCTCACATGCAACACACTTATCAGCTGAATTCTTATTCCTGATCATACATGCATTACACTCCCATTCCTCACTAGACTTTTTGAAAGCAGAACCAAAGCCCTGAAACCCTTGTGATACTTCAGTTTCCTTGGCCACATTATTGACAGACTGTTCAGACACTGACTTACGAAAACCAGTATTTGTAACTTTTGAAAGTGTTTCTATTTTCTCTAACTTTTCTCCAAGACTGTTAGACACTGGTGAGGAGGTGGTGGTAACTTTATCTTGATCATTTCCCTTAAGAAAGTCCAATACGCTTCCTCTTTTAAGTTTTTCAGCTGTGGGTGCTACAGCTTTCTTACTATTTGCCTTTAGTTTTGGGGCTGACCTTTGGCTACTGCTATTAAACATTGGGGGTGGAGTTGAAGCAACTGTGGTACCGAGATCATCACCAGTGAGATTACCCTCCCCAATTAGAGCAGGACTTCTGAATGTAAACTTTGGAGCACTGGTAAGAGTTTCACTAGTTGAATGAGTATCCACAATTTCTGGAGTTGAGAATTTGAAACCCTCTGGTGAAGAGGATAGTTTTGTGGGTAAACTCTGCACTGGAGACGGGATTGACAGATTGATTGTCGGAAGAGAGGACATATTAAGAGACACTGCTGGGAGTTGGGGCTCTTCTATAATTTCATCAACTTCACGTTTATTGGAAGTTCTTCCACTATCTGCGATTTTAGACTTTATCTTGCCACCGAATTTCTTTGTTGACTGTGGTGAATCACTGAAAGATAAAATTTTGAACATCACTTAAAAATTCACACACACACAATTCTAAGCTGCATGGAGAGTTTTAAATAGAATTCATGCCAAAAAAAAAGCTTGACCTTCAATTTTAAGCTGCCTGCTAACATTGGAGGAAATCAAAATCATAATCTCTACCTTATCCTCTTTGCCAATGATCAGCTTGGGCGATTGGTCATGTCTCTTGTTACATATTGTTGGCAAGCAGCACTACAACTTCTACTATGCTTTATCACACTGCCAACTTTCCAAAAGAATTCACAGGATATTCTCAGGCATGACCAATGCATTCAGCAACATTTGTGAAGACACATTACTTTTTGTTACGTCATTAGTGATGGTACTGTTTTGCTCACTGGCAGCTGCTGCTGTGTGTACCTTTTGTAATATAGTTGCGTACTTTTCACCACAACTTTGTTACCCTAATCAACTACTCTTTTATGTGCATGTGCAAACAAGTACTTAATATCATTCATGTATGTATGTTTATGTATAATTTTGAATGTGACTATGTTTTGATCTCCAACTTCGGGGTGCAGCTTAGATTTGAATGGCAAGCTTTTTTTGCATGAATTCTGTCCAAACTTCACCCGGCGGCTTAGAATTGGGGGTGGCTTACAATAGTCAAAATACGAAAAACATATTATCGATAAACATATTATAAGTGAAATACTTCTTTGTTACAGAAGCCAACCAACCTTGTGAATGTAGACATGGTTGTAGAAGGTCTAGAAGCAAATTCAAAAGTATTTTCAGAGGCACTACTGTTGCTAGGTAAACCAAACTTGAACACATCTGTTGGTTGATCAGCCTGTGTCACTGAAGACACTGTGGGCTGTGAGGACTTGAATATTGCTGTTGCTTCTGCTGCGGCTTTAGAAAAGGGTGAAGCTGAAAAATTTTCAGAGGCAAGTTTTGTTGGTTTTTTTGTTTCTCCTTGTTCTGTTACAGTAACCTTTGTGGTGGGTTGAGGGGCCTCTTCTGAAGTTGTAGATTTCTTATGAGAAGGTGAACCAGAAGAGAGAGAGGTACTTGCTGAAGATGTGGCAAGAAGAGAAGTGGTGAGGTTCTCCTGGACAGTTAGCTGTAAGAATAGAAAACTATAAATCATCTGTACATGGCCACATGTGTACACAATTTGAAAAACAAAGATACTAGAATTGCAAAAAGAACATAAGTGTACAGTATTCATAAGACACGAGTACCACAGTACAGTATATGCCTTTTGCCAAATTATATCCAGTATTCAATCTTCACCGGTAACACTGATTCTACACAAGACTTGATTTAGTGTTCTACATTTCATCTGATAATACAGAAACCTGTAATAATTAATCAAAATATTGACATGGGATTTATGCTCCAAACAAGAAAAACTTCAAAGGCCTAAAAAGACCAAAACTCCAAACCAATATAGACTAAAAAATCAAGTAGTACGGGAGGGGGGTGCCCTAATAGATTGTAAGCATGTATGTGGTATAAGACTGATATTGGTTACAGAACTTACAGGTATAACAATTTTGTAAGGTGAATCACCAAGAGACTGGTGGCAAAGAAAAATACATATTCAATACCTTAGTTGGAGTTAGAAGTCTAGATGTTGGGGGTGCTGATGGTCTTAAAACTGGTCGATGTCTGTGAAAGGCAGCTGTGTAGGATGGGGCTGCATCTAAGAAGCTGCCTCTCTGACCAGGGGTAGGGGTAGGTATACGTTTGGCATCTGATATGGGTGTTGACATTTGTTCCAAGCTTTCTAAAATACGTCGGGCAGCCTGACTGAGGCCGCCGTCATCTGTCGATTCAGTTGCCACTTTTGCTCTAACTTGAGCACGTGAAGTCTGAAAAAAATTTCAGTGATAATCAACCGACATTTCAAAATGCAATAAATGAAAATTTATCCAATCCAGTTTACTTAGAACTTTTGATCCCCAAATGACAAGGTAATGTATATTCCTGCCATAAAGTCAGAGTAGAACAATGATTCAAAATTAAGACATTTTCTGATTAAGGTTAAAAAATACTGTAATACATATCTTACAACACTAGAAAGTATTAAAACCAGCACTAAGTTTGTTTGTTTTCAAAGCGGATTCTTTTTTCTAGGAGTCAGTTCTTTTTTGATAAAATTTTATAAACCCGGCACCAAATAAACCATATCAATATGAGAATTATGGTGAAATTGCATAAAGACTTGTTAAGGGGCTCTTGAGGCAGAGGCCCCCCCCCCTGTTGCTCCTACATCACCCTCCCACACATAATACAGGTACTCCTCAACTTACGACCTACGACCGCCTCAGTCGTACCAAAAATTTTTCAAATTACGTATGTATTTCCCAGTACCGAAACATTTCCGTCCCGTACGAGAGCGTGGCATGGAGTGGGCCGCCTCGTGGTGTACAGCGTCCACGCCATAGCGCGCTCAGTTAGTGTTTGGCTGTATTTGTTGTTGGTAGTGATCACGCTGTGTACTGACAATATTTTCGGTTCTAATTCTCTTTAAAATGACTGGCAAGTGTAAAAGTTCTGGTGGTGCTCAGAAGAAACAAATGGCAGAGGCATTTGCTACTATTAATAAGGGGATGCAAATGTTTGACGAAATGGATCAAAATATTGAGCATTTTGCAAAAGTTGACAGAATGATCCAAGATGCAGTTGCTTGCCACAGGGAGATTTACAATGAAAAGAAAAGGCAAACTGTGCAGTCTAAATTGGACATATATTGTAAGAAGTCCCCCACTGCTGTCTCTTCACGCCCTACCAGTAATGCCTCTTCACTCCCTAATGATGATCCAATACCTTCAACAAGCAAGTATGTTAGCCTGTCTGAAGAAAGCGACAGTGATGACTCACCCAGCCATCTCCTCCTCTGCTTCATCCAATTAATGTAGTCTCCATGTTTAATTAAAAAATTATTGAGACCCCTGTGTGCATTCAGCTGACTACATTAAAGGTAAGTGCACAGTAACACTTTATTCATTTTTCATTACTGATTACTTTTACAGTACTGTATTTCATTTTAGATTTTCAATGTATAATTTTTTGCATTTTTGACTTACGACCTGCATTTGGGTCCCTAACCCCGTCGTAAATCAGGGACTGCCTGTATACTCCTACACTCTTATTTTAATCTTCATAGTACTGTATAGTATACAGCTTTCTCTTTATTCAAAAGACAAATTCTGTGGTTACTTACATATGGTATAACACTTTACAGTACAGTACTTAACAATCGTCTCGGTGAAAACAGTTGTTGACAACCAAACTTATGTCCGATTTTCAACCCAGAGTCATTTCATATTTTATTATTGTTGATGTAATAGTGTTTTAATAACCTGGTTATGCACACAAAGACCTTAGTTGTTGAAGTGCAGTAACAACGTAACTGATTTTCTTAAAAAGTCCAGATAACCAGTGTTATCTCAACCCCCACCCCCGTAGACTTGCCTTTTTCAGACTGGTGTCTGCCCCATCTAGTCCAATTTATCAAGGTTTTACTGTACAGTATATAAAGTTTATTAACTAAAGTGTCGACTCCATCCTCCGCGGGGTTCATCTACCTCCCTCAGACGTGAGGGAATGGAGTCCACCAAACAAGAGGAAATGTCGCTTCCTCTGGTGGCAGTCTTTATGCAAGGAACACCAACTACAATACCCATATTGTCTCATCTGAGCATCAAGAGTGGGCGGAGCTGAAAGCCTGTGATAGTTCCAACTATGTAACGAAAGTTTTAATGGGGGAGGGAGGTTGGGGGGCTTGAGACTTGCTCAGGTACCTGTTTTTTTTTTTTACTGGCCTGACATTAAATTAAATAATAATGTAATACAAAACTACAGTATTTTACGGCACATAAGATGCACCCATTTTAGCAGGAAGTATTTAGGACAAAAACTTGTGTGTATTTTCCTGCTGAAGCCAAAGTTTTCTTTAAACATTATTTACAGTACCGGTAAATGTGAGGAATACATAAATATACCAATAAATAAGTTACAACAAAAAATACTATACAGTATTGCCAAACCAGTAAATAAAAGCCAAATGAAAGTTTAAAACAAGTCGTCATTTGCATTCACCTGTACTCCCTGTTCACCATAGCAATGGCAATGCTACCTCCGCCAATTCCCTAGCAATGCTCCCCTCTCCCACCACCAACTGGCCAACTATCCTTCTGCTCTCCCACTAAGTCAGCTGACACGTGTGCAAAAATTTTTTTTATTCCTTTTACGTGTTTGCCCTTAGGACAACTCTATCTTTTACTTTTTTCACAATATGTATGTAGAATGGTGTATGCATGTACAGTATATCAGTAAAAACAAATGAAGAGAGTTATGTATATCTACTCGAAAATACGAGTTGATAAACAACATCTTGGCCCAGTAGCTTGGTGGTTACACAGACGAGTCTAACCTGGCTACAATGCCACCAGTGATGTTAACAGATGTAAATGTTAAAAGAAAGTTATCTGCAAATCTTCATTTGTATCAGGTATTTGTAGATTGAAAAATAAATGTAGCATGTATGGCATTAATAGATTGCAATGCTTGTAAGTTTGGATTTGGTTACTGCTTAGCTACTTTTGAAGAGTTGGGTGTCTGCCGTATGGACGTTAATCGTCTCAGGTTATCGTCATCAGTACGTACAGTACAGAGTAGTTATAGATTGACCTTTTATATTTACAAGAATTCGTTTTTAATTAAAAATAATAAAAATGTTTAAATAAGGAATAACATTTTTAATTCTGGAGTTGGGTTAGGTAGAATTTAGCCTACTGGAGACAGCAACAGGGGGATTCATTAGCTTGGGGGAGACTGCAACTTCACATATAGGACATATGCTGATTACTTGTAGCCTTTTTTTTTTCCAGACTAAAAAGTGCGTCTTATATACAGTACCATAAAATACGGTATATATCAACTACGAGGACTTCCTCTCCAAAGACAAAATAAACAAAGCCCCCATCCAAGAACACAGCTCACCCAAGTCTTCCCTGAAGACTCCATAACCAAAACTCTAATTATAAAATGATAATAAAAAATACAAAAATTGGCAAAATCATGATAATCATACTAAATATATGTATTGACTTCGCCCCTCTAATATCCTATCCCAACAGAATATCACCATCTCAATCACCTTCAAAACATAAAAGGTCATAACAGCAAAAAACCCTCTATGACAACAAACCAACTTTGCATCATCTTCAATGCCCAAGAAAGAAGAGAATTATTAATCATGTAAGAACTTTAAGGTCTCACAGTTTTATGTAACCACAACTACCCATAAATTAAAACTAGGCAAAGAAAAGGAGTTTTAATTTTCTTGTTAATATGTTTAGGACTTTCAAGTGCCCTCTTAGCAAGGCAGGCTTGCTGTGATTACCTCAATGAGGAGGGACCAGACAAGAGGCCAAAGAAAAGCCAAAGTCTTTGGGAAGTCACAAAGCCAAAGCCAGGGCTTTTCAAGCTGGCTGTGCAGATTACATGGAACATTAACTTGTCCCTGACAAGTGACATGAAATTTACTTACCCGGATAATTTTTTTACTTGTCCTGACAATTTTTTTAGAAAATTTGCTTGCCCAGATTTTTCATGGGAAAGGCTAAATAAACATCTTACAGTTCACTTGAGTCTGGCTAAATGATGTCAGTAGTGGTAACCCTCATCATATGTCATAACTCTTGTCACCTCACTTTACACCTGCAAGGTGTGGGTAGGTGGAGGCAACCTGTTATTACCTTCCTTAACTACCTCTACCCCACCCCCTATACTCAGGTGCCACTGGCAGCAAAACTTGTCATGTGAAGTCATAACTCCTGTCACATCACATCTATAGCCTCTCAGCTTGGTGGTTCCTTTGACAAATTGACCGACTGACTAGATGCAAGTTGGCGGCTTCCTGCACCTGACAAAGGTCACTAATGACCTCCCTGGTTAAAAACGTACAGTGAGGTGGAGTCATGCAGCAACAGACATAATTTTCGTCTCGGTATTTCCTCTCAAAATATTAGCTTGTCTGCTTGGCACATGGACACGAAAAATCATTTGCCCACCCTCTAGTCCGGGTACGGCCGGGCTGCTGGACACAGTTGGTCTGCACAACCTGTTTTCAAGGCTAGACAAAACTTTAACACCATTACTTATATAATATATTGCATTACCTTATATGGTGAAGGGAATACATATGATATTCTAAGCTGCAGCAAGGCTTTGAGTAAGCTGACTTTATTTCAAGCTGATGGACATTGGGGTAAATTTTCTTTCCTTTAACAAGAGTGTGGTGGTCAAGTGGACACAGCACTCATCTCCTGTTCCAGGGTTGGTGATTCGATTCCCGGGCACTCCCAGTTCACCCAGCTGTAAATGGGTACCTAAGTTTACAACTTGGGGAAGTGAATACAGTCGCGTGCAGTATTGAGCATGCTGCCTCCTTGTGTACCAAAGGCTTAGTATACAGGGTGCTGTGCCCACACTGTCCCTAACGGGCTGTAAAACGGGATGATGATGAATCTATAAAAATGTAGGTCCAGGGCAAATGAGCTCTTCCTAACTTTTGACTTAATAGTTTGAGATGACAACTAAACAAGGGTGATATAGAGATGATTCCAACTCAATTTGGGATCAACTTACAGAATTTTGGAGACACATCTAATCCTACTGTTTCCAAATAATCAAAGGTCACACCAATTCCTGTAAAATCATTTCAAGGGATAACCAAAATTAATTACAGGAGCTGCAATTAACTGTCACTGCAAACAAGTCTACCTTAAATCTCATATCCAAGCCCAAAATCTGGTTTACCAATAACTGTAAACAAACCAGCATTTCCTATGAGCATGCACAATGCTACATCCTGGATGCCCATTCCCAGTCAGTTCTAGTACATAATTCACTTCATACTTTCATATCCTTGGTATTCCCAATGCCATCCATCTCTGAATTACACAATCACATCCTTTATGCTACTTCACTTCACAATGTTTTTTGGGGTGACAGTCCCACAGATTGAAGAAAGCACTTAGGCCAGGGTAATGAAGTGGCTAAGGGCAGGAGACTTAACCACTCAATAGCTTGACCCTGTAACATTTATGCACATTCATTCATAAGCCGTTAGCCTGGTGTCATGTCACCGAGGGTTTGAGATAAGACACAACACATGAGATTTAATAAATCACTTCAATAATTCACATAGACTTTTCAGATTGTAACAATGGGCTATGTGCATCTTCTGTTGAGATAAATTTTGAGTAACTTTGTTTCCCAAATTAAAACTGCACCTTCAAAATCACTTTTTATTTGCCAAGTCACATGTAAGGGATCATTATGACAAAGGGAAACCAGTAGTAAAGGTTACCTGATGAGGAGTCCGTGACTGCAATCTTCTACTTCTATAGGCTGATGCACCTCCATACATAGTTTTACCAGGATAGAAAGGTGAGGACTTGAAAGTTGAATCACTTAAAACAGATTTGTCCCCCTGCAATAAATTATTAAACTTTTAGTTTTTTTACACATGAAATGAGCGCAAAAATCCTTTACAATTATGCAGTCATAAATATGCATACAGGTACTGCACAGTACAGTACTCAGAAATGCCAGTATTCACTATTTCACTCATCCCCCCTTATCAAATTTCCATTCATAATATAATACTGTTAACAAAGTACTGTACACAATGTAATACCCAAAAACAAATGTTTTTACAAATAATACCTTTATAGGAAATTTCATGGAAAAAGTAACCTCCAATCTAAAGAAAAATTGGTAACTTTAAAAAGATAATTTTAGAGCTTTTAATCTGAATGATAGGTACCTACCTCTCTCTTCACTGACAATTTCTTAACAAAATGTGACCTATTACCTGAACTAGGTCAAATGTTGTTCCATCAAGCTTTCTTAGTTCTAGTATTAAGTAGCAAAACAAACCTATTTCATAACATAGTGGGATGGACATTCAAACACTTATGGAATTACAAACATTTCGAGAATCCCAGACCAAAATATTTATATTTATACTGTATGTGACTGATCTCTACACAACCCAAGATTGTATTTAACCCTTTGGCTGTGACTTGCAACAAATTTACTCTGTACCGTTTGTGCAATTATCACAAACACAGAAAAGGAAGTTTTTAATAACAATATTTTCATCTAACACAAATATAGATATACATGCAGGCCAATGGGAAACAAAAGAATATATAATTTAACTAACTTGGTTGAGCTGTCTTTGTAGCAATTAAGACCATATGCACAATTTTCATAAGATACACATGCTAACTATAATGTGAAATGAAAGGTTAAGTCATTTATCTAGCTTATTTTAGCTGTGGTGAAGAGTTCCTGTACCACACGAAGTGGATGGTTCCAGAGCTGGAGATGAACATTCTTTCTCCAGTGTGGATGGGTGGGTGGGTGTGTGTGCAGAGGATCCTTAATATGCATCAGGAATATTTTCCAGAGAAAAGTGAATTTTTTTGTTGTTTTTTTTACTGTAAACACTTACCAGCATAGGAGTGCCATATATAGATGCATTAAAGCGTGGTCTCTTGCTTGTCATCCCAGATGGCTGTGGTTGTCCAAGCACAATATCTGAAGTCTCACTAAACAGGGACTTACTGCTAACACTGCCTTCAGCACGTACGCTGGTATGATCTGTAAGGAAACAGTTTATAAAAAACAAGGCCCCTTGACTGAAGTTAGATTAACTCTGTTACTTTGAAGGCAAATTATACAGAAGCTACAGTAATAGCTATCGTATATACAATTACAAGATATGATAAAGTAAATGTAATTTCCATTACAAAATTGAAATCCTACAAAAACTCCAAAATATAAACAGGATCTTAAGTAATGTTTTTAAAGTAAAGGAACATACACTGCCTATAATGCATATCTGTTTTACCTCATAAATTGGTGATATGACAAACAAAGATTGACTGAATTACCTTTTATTTATGAAATACCTAAAAAAATACAAGCAATATACAACTGCCATAAAATTTTCAGGCTATGCAATCTACTGTATTTACTAATTACAATTTGATCTTGAAAATACTTTCTGATCAAGTGAAGAATAATTCAAGTGTACAGTGTGTCAGCAAATTCTCAGAAAATCCTAAACCATGGCTTAATTCAAATACTGGCCAACCCTTTTTAAAAAAAAAACACACACACAAAAAAAGGTCTTATCCCAGGAAAGTGCACGGCCTCAAGGAGGTCGGCATAGGTCAATGGTACTCTTAGGTAAAAGATCTCTGTGGTCTTAATCGTCAGTCTCCCACACTTCCATTCATCTCTCATTTACCTAGTGAGGAGGCAGCTGAGATAATTAATAACCACTTTGCTACCATATGTCATACCCTACCCAGTCTTGACCTCACCCTCCTCCCGGCTTACTTACCTTCCCCTCCCCCCCTCCCAGTGTTCAACCATTTGAAATTGCCAACAAACTCCTGAAATTTATATCCAAATGCTCCACAACCCCAATTGACCTCCCAATCAAAATTTACAAGGAGTTCGCAGTCGAACTTGCCACCCCCCTCTGTTCTATTATTAATGCATCCCTCAGACAAAGCAAATGCCCTAATGAATGGAAAACTGCATTTGTCACCCCTATCCCCAAGGTCCCCACCCCACGGTCCCATAACAACCTCAGGCCAGTTGCCATTACCCCCATACCCAGTCTACTCTGTGAAGACTTTGTTTTTGAGTGGGCATTTGCTAGTATTTATCCGTCAATTGATCCACAGCAATTTGGCAATATGAGGACCTCCTCTACATCACACTGCTTAGTTAGTTTCCTGGATTTCCTGCACACAAACCAGCAGAAACGTAAGACATCACTGGCCGTTGCCCTTGTTGACTACAGGAAGGCTTTTGACCTTGTTGATCACTGCACTGTCATCAAAAAGGTCATTGCACTTGGGCTGCCCACCAACCTGGTCTCATGGCTCACTGATTTCCTGAGTGAGCGTCGTCAGGCAGTCAGGTACCAGGGTTCTGTCTCCACATTCCACCTACGGTGTTCCCCAGGGGACCACTGTGCTTCCTAATCCTGATCAACGACGCTCTATCAGACACTCCTCACAGGTTGAAGTACGTGGATGACTGCACTATGGGAGTTACAGTGGACAACACCTCACTGGACTACTCATCACTACAAGGCACCCTAGAGAGGCTACAGGCATGGACTACGGAGAACAAGGTCACCATCAACCACACCAAAACCGTAGTCATGCACATCAATACTGCCACCACTCCAGTGCAAGCTCCAGCAGTCACAGTGGGTGCCCATCCTCTACAGTTAGTGCAGTCTGCCAAACTCCTGGGTGTTATTAGACCACAAACTGGACTGGAAGGCCCATGTAAAAAACACAATCAAGGCAGCCTCGTACCGACTCTACATGCTACAACTACTCAGGTCACTTAGGGCACCCACGCCAGAGCTGAGGACTATCTACAACGTCTTTATTCTCCCCAAATTAACATATGCGTCACCAGCCTGGTCGTCTTCTCTCAACTCTACCCAACAACGTCAGCTAGAGAAGGTACAGAATGGGGCCTGCAGAATCATGCTCGGCGCAGACTACTCCGGCTACAACAATGCTCTCTCCACCCTGGAAATGCCATCCCTCAGTGACCTCCACCACCAAGCACTAGCAAGGTTTGGCAGTGGACTACTGCACCATCCTCGTCATCGCCGCCACCTGCCACCGCCAATCCCCCCACCCATCTCGCGCAGTCCGCCACAACAAAATTCAGTCCATAAGAGCCTGCACTGATAGATATAAGAATAGCACCATCCCATCTATTGTTAAAATAATTAGCAACTCCTGATTTATGTACTGTACAGCCCTGTAAATGTATTGAATGCATATCATTATGTCTAAATCACATGTAAGTTTGTATATTTTCAGCACAGGCTGCAACTCTATTAATAAACCGTTTATTATTATTATTATTATTACACACACACACCATTTGTTTACATAGGGCATCTAGGGGGGTGCCAAAGTACCAGATAATGCTTCACTAGACTAATTGGGGTAGACCCCAGTACTACAGAAAATGTGAGTGAGAAAAAGCAAATATGGGGGAGGGGTGGGGATTCTGGACATTACACTGCTAATGTGTACCGTTTTCAGAAAATAGTTGATATTTATTAATGTACTTCAACAAATGAGGTCTTTAAGAGCATCACAAGGTTAGTAAGACACTATTACATCAACAATAAAAAAAATATGAAATAGAACTGTGTTGAAAATCAGACTAAGACTAGTTGTCAACAACTGCTTTCACTGAAAAGATTATTTTCTACTGTAAAGTGTTATTTGTAAGTGATCAAAGAATTTGCCTTATAAATAAAGAGAAAACTGTATACTGTACAATAATATAAAAATAAGAAAAAATATGAGCACAAGGGTATATTGTGTATGGGAGATAAGAGTGATATGGGAGCAGCAGATGGGGGTAACAGAGGGGGGGTAGTATAGGTGCATAGCTCCCACCCCCAGGAACCCTTTAACATGTCTCTCTGCATTTTCAACATAAATTTAATATTAGTAAAAATATTATAAAATAATCATCCCCCCAAAGTACTGGTATCCCACACTCAACACCATGAGTCACTGTGTTATATTAAATTCCTGGTCCTTTGATTACAAAGTGCAAACAGCTGATCATCCAAGCTGCCTCACCAAGTGCTCTTAATCTCTCATGCTTACCACAACATCCTTATTACAGTAAATAGTACTGTAGTGTAATTATCAGCACTTAATAAATAATACTGAGCCAGTTGCCTGATTACCCAATTTCTCTTCACTTAATCTCATGTAATATGTGGCATATTAAATCAAAGAAAATTGCCCTAATTCTTAAATTTCATATGTAGAATGCTCAAATCATTTGGAAAAAAAATTATTTTGAAGACTTCCAGCTGACAGATCCTTTACAGCAGTATGCCTTTTCTTCTTATAACCACCAGATGCTGTAGCATCTATTTTACTTTCCTTATCTTTTTGCTAGTAGTACTGAAGGGTAAACGGGGTCCCGGGTTATGAACGAGTTCCGTTCCCGAGGACGTTCTTAAGACGGAACACATACCCTATGTGTACTATATCATAGCCTAAGAAAAGAAGAAATTCTATGACAAAATACAGTAAAGGAAAATAAAAACTATTGTTTAACACTTACACTGAAACCTTTGGCTGGCTAATCTTCCACCCACATCACTAACAATCTTTCCACTTCTTTGTTTTGATATTACAGTTGAATGCAATGGTATAGTTCCTTTTCCATGTTCAAGAATTTTCTGTTTGTCTTTCAAAATTATTCTGACCGTTGACCAACAGAAGCCTAACACTTTATCAATGACTGAGGGTCTTTCGCCTTTTTCAGAACGTTTAATTACACCAACTTTCACTTCCATTGTATTTGTTTTCCTTTTCTTGGATGCACTACTATCACTTACATCAGGTTTGCATTTGGGAGCCACGATGAGGACAGAAAAATAGAGATAACACGCAAAAAAATAAAACAACGGTTTGAACATTATCACACACGTTACCGAGGTGAGGGTAAGGTGTACTGACGCTCCCTCAAGGCGCATGGCTGGGAGATGCATTACTCCACACCTGCCACGCCGCCTCGCAAACTAGTTCTCGTACATTAATACAGTGATCCTTCGGTTAAAGAGCGCCTCGGTTAACGAGATTTCGGTTAACGATTTACCTTCCATAAGATTCTTAACTTCGGTTAACGAGCAATCCCTTGATTAACGAGTTTTTTACAAGCCGACCTCAACATGTTTTCGCTTGCATTTGGCGGTCCACCAGCTGTAGTATTAGTCCGCCAATACTACAGTAATCGGTTTTAAGGCTTAAATTCCTTACTATTTTAGTAAATATCAAGTTTATACTATTCAATAATTTTAAAAGTTCAATATTAAAATTTTTTAGGCATTTTAACAATTATTGAACATAATTGAAGGTAAAGAAACTAGTTTCTGGTGCGCCATTCAGCCTGTTAACACACAAGCAGGCTTTAGTCTCTCTCTCTTTTCAGTGGAGGTAACATATTGCTTGAGACTCTCTTCAACTAAATGCTTTTTTTCTGTTCCAAGCAAATTATTGGTCATTTTGAAATTTATTTTACATATTGACAATATATAATGCAGTGCAGTGTTGATTTGAAGAAAATAATCTTGAATTACACCAAGAGAACTAAAATTTTATGGGTGAAATAGCACCATGGGGTGACTTCTCTTCCACCCCAATGCCTTCTCTTCTCCTCCACCCCCATTCTAATTCCCATCATCATCATCATCATCCAGGAGCCTTCTACATACACACCTCAAAGTAAGTGTACTTTTCTACCTTTTTTGTTGAATTTAGGCAATTTTTGGTGAGTTGGAACCAATTACCCAAAAACCCATTGAAACAATGGTTTCGGTTAACGAGCAACTTGCTGGAATGGATTGTGCTCGTTAACCGAGGGACCACTGTACTACTACGAACCATTTGTGTCTATGTCGGATTCTTAAATAATTGACCGTATGGGACCTCGTTCGTATCGGTGGGTGTTCGTAATATGGGACCCCCTGCAATAAACTATGTATTTAGTCATGATACAATACAAAATACGTACCTTGTACTGTACAATATAAACACAGCTAGTTTTGACCACATCCCGCATGAAACTACCCACATGAAACAAACACAAAGGGAAGCGCAACAACCACAGAGCACCTGCAAGTCCGTGGTTGTGGAAAGATCCAAGGGTTCAATGTATTCATCATCAAACATCCATTAAATTCTGACTCTAAAACTACAAATTTTAAATTTTGTTATATCCTGTACTCACCTGGCTCCAAATCCCGGGGTCTTTTCCGAGTCTCTTCTAGGGATGGTAGGGCACCTGCTGGCTGTGCAACAGGTGCTGCTGGCACTGATTTTGCCAAGGAATCTCGTAATGTTTGAAGAGATTCATCATCGAGCTGCAGGATCTCACGCTGATAATCTCGCTCATCTGGTCGTGGAATTACAGAAGCATCAACACCTGTGTCTACTGATGATTCACTCATTTCACTACCATCATCCCCTAATTGGGAGAAATAGAAGAAAAGGGATTTGAAGTTTTTTTTCAATTAATATTTTTTTATAAAATTATGTAAAAAAATCACTCTGTAAATTGTTTACATTATTTTGCAGCAAACAAACGCAATGCAGAAGGATCTGGATGCAAATATTTAAAGACAATATTAAAAGCACTAATGACATTTCTAAATGCTAAAGCATTTTTTTTAAATATAGTAGTCCTTCAAATAACAGTTGTGAATTATGTGACAATCACAAATTCAGTTTGATTCCCCTCAATTAACAATACATCCTGCTTTATCATAGACATGTTAAAATGGCATCCAATTCAATTTCAAGGCCAATATTTCACTACTAAAAAAATATGTCGAATTTTGAAAAATATTATTACAGCATTAATTTAAGATCTCATGTAAATCCAACTACTGTATTAAATTACAGCAAGTAGTTTCTATAGAGGGTAGTGCCCCCTTAATTTGAAAATTTACAAATGCTTTCATAAAAATAAGTGAAAGGAGAAGCTTTGTTTTTTCAATTAAGGAAATTTTGATGTGTAATTGTGTTGAAAATTTTATTTTACAGATTTTTTTCTGGTTTCTAGGACAGTATCATGGTTGTAGCATTATCATGCACTTCTTTTAAATAAGTAAATTAAACCACTATAACCCAACCTACGCTACATTGCTACATGTACTCTGTAACTCACTCTCTCATTCCACTTGTGATTATCAGTATAATTCTGTCTCTCTCCCTGGTGTAGTTTAAAGGTCAATAACCTGTGTGCCCGGGTGGGCTATTCCCCGTAAAATAAAAGTGGGCACATTTCATTCTCGTATTACTCATGTCCTGTGTGAATGTGTAACAATCACACGTAATGACCCAATGGACAAGACAAAAATTTATTTTAAGCTACAATAAACTACTGTACAGTACTAATTTCTGAGTTTCAACCATAAAGGCTGAATGGAACATCTAGCACCTACACAATCTGACCAAGTAGACCAGTCTAATTATGCACAAATATACAAATAACAGGTACTCCTCGACTTACGACCACCCAAACATACGACTGCCGCAGTAGTATAAAATATTTTTCAAATTACATATTTTCTAGTACCGAAACGTTTCCGTCCCGTAGGACAGCATGGGCTGGGCCGCCTCGTGGTGTACAGCATCCACGTCGTAGCCCGCTCAGTTGGTGTTTGGCCGCCATCGGTGTTAGTGATTGCGCTGTGTACTGACAAAATTTTTGTTTCTAATTCCCTTTAAAATGACTCGCAAGCATAAAAGTGAGAATTCTGGTGGCGCTCAGAAGAAAGAGAGTCAATTACTTTTGAGATGAAAATGAAAATAATAATGCAATATGAAAATGGAAAAAAGGTAGCAACCATTTCACGCCACCTAGGCTTCTCTCACTCGATGATATCAACAATTTTAAAGGACAAGGAACGAATTAGTGAGGTAGTGAATGGATCAACACCTATAAAGGGAAAAATAATAACGAAAAAAAGACAAGGTCCTATTCATGAGATGGAAAAATTAATTGAGATGTGGATGGAAGATCAGCTGCAAAAGCGTGTACCCTTAAGCCTTCTAACCATACACGCTAAGGCAAGAAGCCTTTTCTAAAGCCTGAAAGAGCAGGCAGGAGATGAGTGCGACCAAAACTTCACAGCAAGTCATGGGTGGTTCCAAAGGTTTAAGAACCATTACAGTTTGCACAGTGTAAAGTTGAGTGGAGAGACAGCAAGTGCTGATGTGGCTGCTGCCAAGCTTTTAAGGAGGAGCTAGATCGTGTCATCGTGGAGGGAAATTATTTGCCTGAGCAAATATTTAATGTGGATGAAATTGGCATATTCTGGAAGCACATGCCAGAAAGGACATACAGTAGTACCCGATTTACGCATCAATTGAACCCACAGGGTACCGCGGAAAGTGAACAACAGAACATATGGGATTAATTCCAATAGAGACTGGCCCGACCCCCAAACTCCACTTTTTTCAACACAATACCTATGTTGTAGTAAAAATAACATCTAAATTTTATGATGGTATGCTCACACAATTAATATTTAAGAGAAATACAGTAGCCAGGTTAATGTCCATTCAAATAATGGACTCAAATCCCTCCCCTTCCCAGCTCACTAGCTCCTACCTCTCTGAGAAATGTTTGGGTGAAACCACTAGATTTAAACATTTAGTAATAAATAATACCTCAGACTAAAGTTAGGATAATATAATTGACATTTCTGGATTCCTTGCAGGTCAGGGAATATTTTGAAAGTAAACTTCATATATTTTGCACAAAAGATAAAATATTTGCTTTGTGTAAACCAAATTATTATATTAGATCTAAAATTTGTATGTCTAATGCAAAATCCATCATGTTTATATTCAAAATGATCATCATATTGTAAGAATTCCAGCAATGTAAATTATATTCTGGCCGGGTAATTTCTATGAATTTTATGAGCTAAAACAAATATCTTCAGTAAATAAACAAAGAAATATTCTTCAAGGACACTATCTGTCAATCAAAATACCCCACCTCCGCCCGCCCTCCCTTTCTAACACACCCCACCTTCCCTCCCTACCAGAGAAGCGATTGGGAGAAAATAGTATATTTACATTTTTAGTAATAAATAATAACCCAGACTAAAGTTAGGATAATATAATTGACATTTCTAGATTCCTTGCAGGTCAGGGAATATTTTGAATGTAAACTTCATATATTTTGCACAAACGATAAAATATTTGCTTTGTGTAAACCAAATTATTACATTAAATCTAAAATTTGTATGTCTAATGCAAAATCCATGATGTTTATTTTCAAAATGATCATCACATTGTAAGAATTCCAGCAATGTAAATTATATTCTGGCAGGGTAATTTGTATGAATTTTATGAGCTAAATAAAACAAACTAAAAAAAAAAATTATACTTCACCGCATATATGAATCTACCGTGGAAAGTGAACCGCGGAAGGAAAGACATCTTTCCGTGTAAAGCGGGTAATACTGTACATCCACAAAGAGGCGAAAACCATGCCGGGATTCAAGGCATTCAAAGACCGAATCACACTTCTGTTGGGGGGGATCGTAGCTGGTTTCAAGGTAAAACCCTTCATGATACATCATTCAGAGAACCCAAGGGCTTTTAAAAATGTCAGCAAGCACACACTGCCAGTGTTTTATCGCAGTAATAAGAAAGCATGGATGACCCTAGCACTGTTTGAGGATTGGTTCCTGAGTTTCATTCCAATAGCCAAGGAGTATTGTCTGCAACAAGGGGTTGCCTTCAAGATTTTATTAATTTTAGATAATGCTCCAGGACACCCACCACACCTGGACGACCTTCACCCTGGTGTTAAGGTAGTCTACCTTCCACCTAACACTAGCTCTATCATCCAACCCATGGATCAAGGTGCTATTGCTGCTTTTAAAGAGTATTATTTACATACGACCTTCGCTCAGGCTGTTGCTGCTACTGAAGGTAAAATAACGTTCAAGAGAGTTTTGGAAGGACTACAACATTTTGAAATGTATACTGAAAATAACTGCAGCATGGGATGAGGTTACAGGTCAGTGCATGAATGGAAGAAGGTCCTGAAAAGATATGTGAACAGTTTCAGAGGATTTAATGAAAATGAAACAATTTCTGAGATTACTAACAAAATAGTGGAGTTGGGTAAACAGCTGGAGTTAGAAATTGATAATGAAGATGTTAAGCAGTTAGTTGAAAGTGTAGCAGAAGACCTAAGTAACGAGGATCGTATTGAACTGGATGCACAGAAAATTGCAGAGGAAGAGAGACAAAATGTAGAAGAACCTGCAACCCCCCAAAAAGTTTTCAGTGACACAAATGGCAGAGGCATTTGCTACTACTAATAAGGGGGTGCAAATGTTTGAAGAAATGGATCAAAATGTTGAGCGTTTTGCAAAAGTTGACAGACTGATCCAAGATGTACTTGCTTGCTACAGGGAGGTTTACAAAGAAAATAAAAGGCAAACTGTGCAGTCTAAATTGGAAATATATTTAAGAAGTCCCCCACTGCTGTTGCCTAACACCCCACTACTGCTGCCTCTTCACTCCCCAAAGATGATCCAATACCTTCAACAAGCAAGTATGTTAGCCTGTCAGAAGAAAGCAAACTTGATAACCCACCCAACCCTGTCTCCTCCTCTGCTTCATCCAATCAATGTAGTCTCCATGTTTAATTAAAAAATTATTGAGACCCCTGTGTGCATTCAGCTGACTACATTAAAGGTAAGTGCACAGTAATACTTTATTCATTTTTCATTAGTGATTACTTTTACTGTACCGTATTTCATTTTAGATTTTCTAAGTATTATTTTCGCCTTTTTTCAACCTGGTCGTTGGTACGGAACCCCGTCGTAAGTCAAGGAGAGACTGTACTACATTCTAAATTTCTCCAATTTCTCATAAAAGAAGCAGACAAACAAACCAGATCAAGTCTAGTTCATTCAAATTACAGTTGAAGTAAGATTTAATTGGAATGTAGTATTGAAGATAATTTTACTTTTCTAAAATAGCCCTAAAAACCTTAATTAATAACTACCTGTTGGAGTTGAAGTTGTTAGAAGTGGTAAAGAACGGGGTTCCAACTGGCTCTTGGTACGTGCACTGAACATAGGGGCCGGTGTGGAAGAAATTATGGGAAGTCTTCGCCCAGATAAAGTTGGACTGGGAGTGTCCCCAATCAGCTGCAATGATCTGGAGGTTGTGGAGGAAATGCCCACTGACGCAGCCGTGGGTACACTCATTCTTACTCCACTACTCGTGCTAGCCCCCTCATTAATGCCAAGAGACTGCTGACTGTTAGCTTCCGTCTCACCTGTGTGTATAATTAAGAATAATTATAATTTTATACATAATTGGCTTGATATACAGTACAGTATAAACTTCAACTCCTAATGAAGTAAAAACTTGAAACATTAGTTTGGTACAGTATTGCTTATTGTAGCTGTGTACACGGTTCTTTCATTGTACTGTACTACTGAATAAGTCTGATGCACTGTAATGATAAATTTATATCCATATCCTGTATATTTTTTCTTGTACAGGTATCCCTGTTATATAAACCAAGGTTGCAGAAATTACCACCCATGAAAAAATTGTAAATTATGACCACCAAATTAGGGATACAAACACAACATACAGTAGTGAGTTAAAATTCGTGTTTTGTGTGTTTATTATCATATCATATATCATAAAATAATCAATGTATGTGTTTTAAAAATGTGCATTTTCATTCATGCATGTGTTTGTAATACTTTTGGAAAGTATCTCCAATTCTATAATGGAAGTCAATGGGAAATGGGGTTCACGTTACAGTCAACTTTTCCAAGATGCATCCCATCCATAACCTGGGGGATTACAGTACAATATACTTTACAGTTTACAACACAGGATTTTCATAAACAATGCTACATTAAGTGTCTATGTTGTTAACTACCAATATTCAATACAGGAAGCAGCCAGATGCCTGTGTCAGTATCTCACCATTGTTTTATTTCACAAAAATAACAAAAACTTTTGTAACTTCAGTGTTTTCATGATCCACAGCAATAACAAAATTTCATTATTGCAAAATTTTGTGTGTGTGTGGGGGGGGGGAGGGGGTGGAATTGGGATCTGCCTCTACTTAGAACATAAGCCACCTTCTGTTATCCTGCACACATAAACTGGTTCATCCTAAAACAACCTGACTTGGACAAGTCCCAGCCCTCTTACATCAATAAAATGTAGACTGAAGCACATACTTTTGACAAATACTAACCACCAATTAGTAAGATAGCCCAGAAACAGCAGGGTGGCACTAATCCTTTCCCGTGTATAATACCAGTACCCATGAAAACTGATACAAGAAATCATTAATTAGTTTGTGATATTCAATTCCATAATTTTTTATCCCTGCCACTCCCTAATAATGAGAACTTTTACAACTTATAAAGAAAAAAGATATTATTCGACAAGTATTTTTTTCAAATGCTTGACTACCTATGATCCTATGACTTTCATCCCTGAAAAATTCAGAGGGAAAAACTCATCGGCCCACTTTAGAGACGTGATTCTTCACAGTAGTGCTGTACTGTACTTACAATGAAGAGTGATCCAAGCAGTTCTCTTTACACTTTACATAAAAAACTTTACACACACAAAAAAAAATTTCCATACCTTCTTCAGGATAAATAGGTCTAAATGGGCGACGAGCAGTAACTGGCTGAGCAAATATAAAGGATTCCCCTGCAGGTGCCTCAGTGGATGTTTGCGAGGATCCAGCTTGCTGGTCACTACTTTCCTCCTCATCTTCACCACCCATCCACCCAGATAGCCAAGATGCTGAAAACAGACCAGTGACAGAATCTGTCACTCGCCGGATGATACCCTGCAAAACACAAAACAATTGTATGATAAGCATTTTTCCACGATAACTGAATACTGATTGCCAGAATTATAAATTATATAACATGAAAATTAATACAATTACATTAAATGGTTGTGAAAGTATGTACTGCAAAGATTAGAACATTTTTAAACCTCTAAACACAGACTAATTTGAAATTAGTCTGTGTTTAGACTCCTTAAGTTGAACATGGTTATAGACGCAGACCCCTAATAATGGACGAGGTATGTTCCTGAGTGTCTGCTAAGCAATTAATTCATTAGAAGGATGCATTCCTGAGCGCCAATTCTTACCTTATAAATGCTACAGGGTGGCTTCCTTGGGTTATAGTAATGGCTCTGCAGATGTTATGACTTTTTATAGATAAAACATAAATAACATTAAAGTATAAATTTAATTTCCACCCAACAGTAAATTCTGTTGTAGTAATTTTATAAGGTAAAAGAAAGCAAGCCAAGCAACTGACTTTTCTGGTCACCTTGGCTGCTTTACCAATAATCTCACTTTCCAGACATACGGTAGGTCAAAATTATTCACCATGCAGAAGCAAAATATCAGGAAAAAGGAATACAGTATACAGAGACAGCGGAGGATGCAAACAAATATCACTGAGGTCCTATTCGTTGCTTCTTTTACACACAAAATTTTTTTTCTTAATTCTACTACATTATTATATTTATTAAATGAATATCTTTTATATACGACCGTTTAAGTGAAAACATATTGGACGAGGCTCCATTATGAGGTCTGCCTACATAGGGTACTATGTCAAATCATTCAAACATGGGGAAAAACAAATCAAATTCAAGATTTCATAATCATTTTCAAATGTGTAAGGAGTGGGAGATGCAACTGAAGATTTCACATGTCAATTGTTGATAGCAATAGTGTCTGGAGATACAGTAGTAAAGGGTTTGAAGTTAAGGATTCTTTACCATAACATTTCAAAAGAAAAATAAAGACTTACCTGTATACATAGCACTAGTCATCTGTCATCTTTTCAATTTTTGAGCAACCATGGACATATTTATCCCTTTCACTACTAGACGAATCTTAATACTGTATCTTATTTAGATAATGTCAGACAAGGTGATTTTATTCAGCACAGAGATCCTTCATACTAAATGTTACATAATACTGTACTTCCTTGAGATAAATGTATAGTATATATCAGGTGCCTAAAAGAGAGCTCAGGTTCTCAACTGGCTCAGCCATGTTAATATTGTTATTATTATCCACTCTGAATCTGTTTTTTTCTGGTTAAATAAACTGTTTCAATTCAATTCAAGGGGTTAACAATCTATTCTCAATATACCCTTCACTACTGGATGCCACTTTTACTACCTTATTTGGCCAATGCCAGACAATTTTATTCAGCATAGACCCCTCATTCATGAGGGGTTAAAAAAAATCATACCCACAAATGCTAACTGCATACTGTACTTCCCTACTAAATTTATCAAAAAATATCTAAAATTAAGTCTACAAGTACTGTACAGTATTATAAAACTGAGAGGAAAGACCAATGAAACAAGGATTACATCCACCTTTCTTTGTTAAAGAAAATAAACCTGGTGCTGTATTTGAAAACAAGGTTGCTACCATTGACATTCCTAAGCCTCCTGGTATTCTGCCAACCTCTGTAGAAAGTGTGGTTTGGATTGTTGTTACTTTCAAGATAAGAAACATTGGCTTTGCGCAAAAAAAAAGAAGAGAAAAAGTCGCCAAAACAAGGAAATACCCTCACTGTGTCTTTAACATTTAATTCCCCATTCAATTGTCATCACTTTATCCTCCTTCATCTGTTAATGAAGCCCCCCCCCCCCCTATAAGAAGTTAGGTCAGGTTCTTCTGGTAGCTCTGGTTAGGAGGTTTCATCAGATTTTCTGCGTGTTTCTATCCCACAATTTCCCTCAACTTCAAAGCCTTGTCCAATTTGTAAGATCAATCTTGTTGGCAGTGGGGGAGGGGGTCTTCTGGTATCCTATCTCCGTAACAGCTCATTTCTGATGGAATCAAAGGTCAGATTTGCCTACACCACCACAAAAAGCAAGGGATATTTGCCCAGTCTTGGAGCTTTACTTTCTTCTGGTATTTGTTCTGATTAATCAATGCTGCTGATGTCATTCCAATACAGTATTTCCGGCAGATATGATATGGCTATTTTGCCCAACTGAGTTTTGGCCATTAGTCTGGCACAACCTTTCACCAAATGATTCCTAACATATCCCTAACATTCTTTGGTAATCTATTGGTCATAAACCGAGACTACTCAAAAAATTTTCACTAGCACATTTGACTTCAACAGATTTAAAAGCATCACCTACTCGCAAAATGATTGCACCCACAGCTGCCATGTTTGCAAGTGTAAAACATTTAGAATGAATGCTGGCCAGATAATGGAAGAAAGTAAAGGAAAAATAACAGAGTACAGTACAGGGAATTATTTTAGGCTGAAGGTATTTGCACCCGATAGTGCAAATATGAAATTGTTATTTGCACCCGAACCTTGTCATCACGAGCATCAAGCGCAGATAGTGATACTTATCTGCACCCAACGTGTGTTATAGCAAAATTCAGGTGCAAATTACTGTACCTATTTACACCCGCTATTACCAAATCATATCCAATGAAATGCAAACAAAATAATGTGTAACTATTTTCAAATTAGAGTAAAGAAGACCAACGAAGTTATTTGTGCTGATTTTCTGTATTCGTCATTAATGTTTACAATGGAATTGGGGAAATTAAACTCGTCTTCATACTTTATCTACTTTATTATCATAAATTTTGATATCTGGTACACAATCAAATCAAACTCCCTAGCCGAGGGGCGGACCCCCAACATATTAAGCAGAAAGAACTTACTTTGATAACTGGTACCTAGCCAAAGAAACCTACTCAATCTTACCGATTGGTTTATTTCAGAGATAATGAACTGTTATCAGCACCCAAGTTTTTTCACTGCAAAAGTCTTGTAATATTTGATGGGTGTTCATAATTTTTAGTTTTTCGCCCATGCCCTCTTTTGAGATGAGAAATTTTTATTTTTTTTTACTGTGTTTTAGTCAAATGACCTTATTTCTTGTGCAAATGAGCCATTTTTCCCTAGAAAATCGACTAACCTTACCTAAACCCATGCCATATTAAACAGAAACTATTTTTTTATATCTGGCACTAATGAGAGGAATTTTATTAAGTGTCATGGTGTAATTTCAATTTTTTTTGGTGGATGTGAGAGTACGCACACACCGAGCCAGTCAGTTGTAAACAAACAGGGTAGCCTACAACGGCAGATACCTAATGCTTGACGATAAATACGTATATTAAAAACTAAGCATGTGTACAAGAAATGTTACTCCTAAATATTGATTCATAATTAAAAAATAACACATTTAGGGTAGTCAGAAACACTAGTAGAGGAATGGGTGAAAGACAAATATTAACCATAGGGTTGAAATCTTGGGTATTTGTTGACTTTAGTCCTATAATTCTTTATGATAAATCTGGCAACATATGTGAAATCTACAGAAAATTCTAAGAAAATTTTCTTCTATGATATTTCCATTGCAAATGCATAATAAAGAAGATATGGATTGGTTAGCTTAGGTTTGGATGCATTTTAAGTAATTAAAAATGTTTTTCTATGCGTTTTGAATGAATTTGACCTTCAAAACTGGCGCAAATCACTCGTTTTTTAGTTCCCCCGACCCAAAAACCCCAGTTCCCACAGGGGTTCCCTGTTGTTGTTGGGGGTAGGAGGGGGGGGGGGGGTCATAACTAAAAAAATATTTGATTTGTGACAGTTTTGAAGATTAAATTCATTCAAAACACAGCAAAATACATAGGAAAAACAAATTTGAGTCGCTAGAAAATTATAGGACTAAAACTAACATTTACCAAATTTTGCTATTATTTACACTATCAGATGCAAATACCCACTTCGATTATATAGTACAAACTTTTCAGTTTTGTCACCATATTCATCTTAATTAACAAGTAGGCAGAGTACGGTATATTTTGTTGTGACTGGCCAAGTTCCAAGTACAGTCACTCCTCGACTTACGACATTCGACTTACGACGGCCATGGTCATATAAAGTATTTTTCATATTACATATTTTTGAGTCCCGACATTAGTGATCGCGCTGTGTACTGACAAAATTTTCGTTTGTAATTCCCTTTAAAATGGCTGGCAAGCGTAAAAACGAGAGTTCTCGTGGTGCTGAGAAGAAAACGAGACACCCATTTTTAGAATTTTTATGTATTATTTTCGCCTTACGACCTGGTTGTCGGGACGGAACCCTGTCGTAAGTCGAGGAGAGACTGTACTAACACTATTTTACCATGAGTGCACCCTGATTGGCTAATCGTCCATTACCGGCGGACAAAGCGAGAACGATATGTGACCGTGACTGGCGGCATTTGGCATTTACTTTGCCATGAGGCGATCGTTGTTGAGCTATAAACAAAGCTAACCAGAAATAGTTCGATTTTGTTCATTTTTTCAACATATGTTCTTAACATTATAAATGAGGCAGCATTTACTAAAACCTAATAGAATCTGACTTAACCAACCAATGAAACCTATCTAACCTTACCTAACTTCCTAGCTGGGGGGAGGGGGGGGAGGTAGGACCCCGTCATATTAAAAACAGTACTTAGCCAGTCAGGGATCATATTAAACACAGTACTTAGCCAATCAGAGTGCACTCACGGTAAAATAGTATGATAATTGTGCAGTTTACAGCAATCACAGAATTCACTACACTCAATCGATGGAACTATCGCAAATTGATAATAAGGAAGTTATTGAATTTTAAAAAGAATAAAATTAGAGCACCTGCTGTCCCTATGCTGTTGCTCCAATTGTGTGCGTTCGCTTACCTCCCGCGCATGTGCCAGGGGGCGACAGCCAATCAAATCAGTGGTGGCCGCAGCCAATCAAATCTTGGGCAGGGGCGGCAGCCAATCAAATCCAATAAAATATCTCGACCTTTAATTCAACCAATTAGCATTCAATATTCGGCGTGGGTGCTAAGATGCGGGACATTTTTAATCAGTTGCAACATGGAGCCATAACGTGCTGGGTGCGATTTCGATTATTGGAAGTTTATTGTATTATTTCATTCTAAACATAAGGAAACTTTAGAGAACAGAGAAACCCACGACGTATTCTGGTCCCTGACTCAGAGTAAGGTAAGAGATACTCTAACAGCTACTTATATTCTCGTGGAGGCTGACCATGCGACTCTAGAGTTATTACATAGCGCTTGGGGGTCCAGGGGCGAAGCCCCCCGCTAGGTTGTTAGGTAAGGTTTAGTTTGGTTATATGGTATAAGTTGGCAAGCTCAGAATACCGGGAATTCAAAATATGCAATCGATAGAACTACTGTATTATGACAGGGGGGAGGGCGAAATCACAAACGAGTGATTTCTGACAAAAACAAAGGTCAGATTTAAACTAATCACATCAAAACCCATTAAAAAACCACTTGTTTTTCTTCAAATTCCATGGTTGCTGTATATGTACATTTACCAATAGCATTAGTAGGAACTTTGACGGTCATGGCAAAATATCCACTATGTAATAAGTAATGAACATTTTTTCATATGAAAATTTTATAAATATAAAAATCAGGTAAGCAAACGAGTAGGAAGTGGTGCATCCCATGCTCTAATTCAAATCTATTAAATAAAAAATTCAATGCTTTTATCATACACAGGTATATAAAAATTTATTTTTGTAGGTGACTGCCAAACTTAATCAAGAAGCTTGTAAGCTAATTCCTGCTGAGGGATGTGAAATCACCTCCGTTCCCCTGTAACTAAAATCTAGCTTCAGTATTACAAGCCATTCAACATTATGAGAATGTAAATCCATGAAGTTGCTCTTCAATGATGGTTATAAACCTAAACATGACTGGTCATTCAGTCTTCCTGACCCTCACTTTTCAGTGTTTATTCAACTTACGTCTTGAACTTTTTAAATGCATCATATCATATATATCATAAACTCTGAAACTGTGGGGTTGAGTTTATTTATACACTGCCAGATCACCCGTGTTGCAGGAAAACATGAAACTTGCTGCCAGAATCATGATCTTCTGGCAAGTGGCGCGACTCTCAACACTATGCCTCTATTGCCTTATATCTACTTGTTTAGCACTAACTCTACCTACAGGGACAGTCTCCACAACACCACCGCTACATCACGTGTGTCTGGTTGTGTATACATGCATCCTTATAGTATTTTCGGCAACAGTTAGTGGTATGCCACTGAAGTAATCACAAACAAATCCTCACCTTGGGCCGATCATACGGCTTTGTCGTTCTACTTTTCCGTTCCCTATACTTTCCAGGCCCATCGGAGGCCATCTTGAAGTATGATGACGGCAAAATCCACTAAAATCCCATAAATTCCAAAATAATCGTAAGCTCACAGCAACTTCTTAAGAATCCTAGAGAAACATGGCGGCGAGCGCGCTGGTCTGTGATTGGTGGATCCCTCACCACCCATAATGCTCTACTACCAAACACATGAACAGCGTCACGCACCTTCCATTACTTTGAATACCACTTACAAACGTCACTCACTTCACTAATCTATATTTTCATTCAGAATATGTGGTAAATCAAATTAACAATTACAGTTCAACTTAAAAATTTCATATTATTGAAATAACGCTGAAATAAAAGGGAGATAATTCATTTATCATACTTGAGGCATGAGGTGTGTGAGCGTAGACCACGTGACACTACCACACGCTCGCTTTTTGACGCAGACCAAAGTAAATGAAGAATTGATATAAATATATATATATATCCACGCTATTTTCTAGATTCGCATTCTTGAAATGTATCTCACTTAAAAACTTATTTCATAATGATATCGCCAATATGCTAACCGCAAAAGTCTGATATCTCAAAAGTTTATTAATATTACATTAGGAAAGAGGGCATTTACATCTTTATTTTTAAGCAGATATTTTGAAGAGCTATCTTCATCATCAGTGCTGCAAAGAATTAAAGAACCGTATATTTTATTATACTTGATTGCACTGATATGGTTGTTTACTTTGTAGCACTGATCATAAAGATAGTGTCATTCGAAATATCTGATTAAAAAGAAAGATAGTACAGTATGTCAACGCATTGGTGATAATAATACAGCATATACTGTACTGTTGTACACACACACACTATATATATATATATATATATATATATATATATATATATATATATATATATATATATATATATATATATATATATCTGTCCTCCGTAAACTTCCTGACCTCTCGTACGTCTATGGGAAAGGGTCGCGGAAAAGGGACGTGAATGCTCCCTGTATCATCATTGGGTATGACTTTGCTTGGGAGATTGGTATCCCCGCATCCCCTGAGCAACGCTCTTGTGCATTATGCAGAAGACCCGACAGCAGCACCCTTATCCACTACCTCCTAAGATGTCCCCACACACAACGCTTCCGTGACGCCTGCTGGACCACCACTCCACGACCCCCTGACGGAGGCCCGATGATCCTCCCCATACTGGCCAGATATTATGTAAATAACATTGATTAAGTGTTAAAGGAATATCCTTCCTTCCTTAGGCTTTAGTAAGCCCCTTAATAATATTTATACAGTATATACTTGTCACACTTGCCAGATGCTTCTGGTGTCATTGTACAGGGTACCTAGTGACAGCACTAGGATCCCGCAATAGGAAGCATCATGTGTGTGTTCTAATGGTAGACCTTGCTGCCATAAAGCATCATAATAATTGTGACCAAGTCTCAGGTTGCTGACCTGACTTTCTGCCTCATTTACACACAATGGCAGGGTGTCAATTGTTTCTTTTACTATTAACAACACAACATACATACTGTCGTTTCTCACTTTGATATTTTTTTCTTTGTGGTTCTTTATTATTATTATTATTATTATTATTATTATTATTATTATTATTATTATTATTACATGTTCGTCCCCCAGGCCCCGATGTGGGTCAGAGACCTGTGCCTGGGTGGACTAATCCCCATTAAACAAAAAAAAAGTAACACAAAAAAGAATAACATCACAGCGGTAACGAGTCCTGCTCAGCCCGGACATACGTGAGAAGGGTATTTATCCAGTGTGACCCTACCAAACATCACAGATTTCACAGATTTCGATTTCTTCATGTATTAACACTGGATGAAACAAACACCTGAACGGCTAATACGCTGATAAGTGGTTGAAAAAAAATAGTGTAACACAAAAACTAAGAATACACCAGAAGTGGGTTTATATTATCCCAGTAAGGCGAGGGATTAGGGAGACTTACAGCTCTTCAAGAAAAACACGACAGGGATGGAAGACGTTAATCCACCTCACTTCCTTAAGCATGAGTGAGAGAGCATTGGTGAGGAAGAGGGTGTGGAGGAGAAGCATGGGTGATGGAGAAGGTGTGGAGGAGGAACATGGGTGATGGAGAGGGTGTGGAGGAAAAGCATAGATGAGGGAGAGGGTGTGGAGGAGAAGCATGGGTGAGGGAGAGGGTGTGAAGGAGAAAAATGGGTGAAGGAGAAGCATGGGTGAGGGAGACGGGGAGTAGAGAAGGGTTTTTGATTGGTTGACTGAAATAGTTTAATTTAATATTTAACCAGAAAATACAGATACAAAGTAAATAACAACAAAAATATTTACCTGGCTGAGCCTATAGTGAGAGCCTGGAGGCACCTCCCCCTAATCCGTTCGGTACGCCTACGGTATGTATTTATCTCAAGGAAATTCTTATATCATATTAATATCGTAATACATAATTGCATACTAGATTAGTACCACATTATCACACTTTGTTATTTGTTTTTGTTTTTTTGTATAGGGAGCTGATAAGTGAGACAATACAACATGGCTTACGTCGAGTGAAAAAAGATATATATGAAAACCTCAGTCAAGATTATCATGTTAAGAGGGAGAGTGGGTGATGGGCAGTGTGAGAGGGAAGAGGGTAAGTGAAGGACAGAGTGAGAGGTAGGCGAATGGGTGAGGGACAGTGTGAGAGGGAAGAGGGTAAGTGAAGGACAGAATGAGAGGGAGGCGAGTGGGTGATGGGCAGTGTGAGAGGGAAAAGGGTAAGTGAAGGACAGAGTGAGAGGGAGGCGAGTGGGTGAGGGACAGTGTGAGGGGGAAGAGGGTAAGTGAAGGACAAAGTGGGATGGAGGAGAGTGGGTGAGGGACAGTGTGAGAAGGAGGAGGGTGTTGAATTGAATTGAAACAGTTTATTTAACCAGAAAAACACAGATACAGAGTGGATAATAATAACAATATTAACATGGCTGAGCCAGTTGAGAGTCTGAGCTCTCTTTTAGGCACCTGATATATTCTATAAATTTATCTCAAGGAAGTATTATGTCACTTTTAGTAACATCTGGAATTGTACAATAGCATGGTGGTAATAAGTACATCTCATAATGTTACCACGGTTATCACTTCAATATTTATTTATTTGATTTATTTATTATTTTTTAATTTATATTATAAGTATATACATAAATTACAGTGGAATTGAAAAACATAAGTATAATGGGGGGAGCAATACAACATGGGTTGTACAGTAATAATGTTGAACAAGAGGACAGAGTTGTCAGGATTATGTCTAGTTGGCAATTATGTTTATTGCAATGGTAATTTCTTATCTATTTACATAATAATTTCCGATAAAAAGGTTTTGATGGCACAATAAAAGCAGGTACTGTAAATCTAGTAGGTATTACAAGAAATATAAATACTTAGACAATAGATATCTTTTAAGAGATGATTTAAAGGAAGGGAGCCTAGTCTTTGCTCTGATGGATGGGGGTAAGTTGTTCCACACCTTCACACCGTGATATTTTATGGAGGTCTGGGACTGAGAGGAGTGCATGACGGGTGGTATTGGTAGTTCTGGGTGCCTTAAGTTGTATCTCTGATTATTCCGGAACTGGAAATAATTATTGTCAAGCAATTGATTGATAGATTTGTAAACAAAGAGGGCACAGCAGTACAGTAGGTGTTAATATGAGAATTTTAACATTTTCAATTTAGCAAATTTTTCGTTTGTGAGATCTTTTTTTTTCAAGTAGGTCATTGTCCGTACAACTCTCTTTTGTGCAGTAACCAGAGATTGTGTTTTTAAAGAGTCAGAGGTCCCCTATAGTGTGTGACAGTGTATCAGGTGTTGGTAAACAAGATCATGATAGATATTTTTCATTGCTGTGAGAGTGAGTGACTGTCGAGTGTGATACGTGATACCGCACTGTTCACTGACTTTACTGTGAATGGCCTGTATGTGGTTTCTCCAGTTAAGTTTCTCATCAACAACAACAACAACAACTGTTGTTGGTGTGGGTGTGGTATGGCATCACACTCAGCAGGGGAGCATCAGCTTCTTCGTACCTTACATTACTGGTGTGGTTTCCCTCCATACACTATACTCACCGTCTTCCTCCATCTTCTTCTGTCCACCTATTTCTTGCTCCTCTTTCTTTCCCATCTATCTCTGGCTCCATTCCTCCTCCTTCTTCTTCCCCTCCCTCCCTCTCTATCTTAGAAACCTGTCCCCCAACTCTACCTTCTAATTAAATGAAGATCGTTGTACACAGTCACCTAATACCCCACAAGCTTAGTTAATCCCAGCTATGTTAACAATGCTGTGTTTTAGGTGAGTGAGTAACCTACATATTTTAACGCTAATTAGGAGAACGTTATGGTGTCAGACAAGGTGATATATTTTCCTCTTAGTTTATTTAATATAATTAGGTACACTAGACGATAGCATAAGGCCCCTGTAGATCCAGTTCTTCATATTCTAATTGATTGGCTCGATGTTAGTACATGAAGAAACCAACGTTTGAGGTTCGGTATTGGCAAACATCCTAACCGCATCCGATCTGAACCGCACCGAATGGCAGTGATGAGTGGCTAAAGTGAACCGCTGTTTAACTAACTACCCTTTAATATTTTTTTGGATAAATAAGTGTAGGGCAAGATGATATTTTGATGGAAATATAGTAAGCCTATCAAGTATGCTGATGACCTGATGGTGTTTGCACTATCGATGACAGGCTTCAGTATGATTCATTAGGGAGTGTGAGCAGTTTGGAAATAATCATGATTTAAAAGAACAGTGCAAGTGTGACTTAAATCGTTTGGACTCAGTGGAATACGTTTACCAGTATCCTACAAGCAACTGTCCGTAAAAGGATACATACTCCTCGGTAAATTTCCTCAGTACAGCTGAGACTGGGAGGTGAAATTGATATTCTTCTCATTTATCGTAATATATTCATTCTGTTTCACTGTGTAATAAATATAAAAATACAAGTTTATTATATGCTTTGTTACATGTATACAATGTTCTCCGTCTATGTGATAAACCTGGTGTAGTTTTAAACAGAATATTCTGGAAATTTATCTTGTCGCTAGCTTACAGTATATAGTTTTCAAAAAATAATCCACAAGACTGGTGCAGTATGTA